CCGTTGCAGTTGTACTCGGTTGAACTCGCCCTTTGTCTGAGCTTCGTATGAGTAGCGCGGGCGTTTCGCCTTTTCGGTGTGTCACCAGTGAAAGTCTCCACGCGGATCGTATGCAGCAATGGATGACCGGGAGCGAGTGTTCACACCGTACAACGCGACACTTGGGGGTCAATATACACCGGGGCCTGCATTGTGTCCATGGAGCTTTCTATGGGAGTCTAGGACTTCGGGGTTTTAACGGTTTCGGGTTTTGCTCTTATCGTCCAGTTAGAGTCAAATTCGACGCCAAAAGTTGGGTTAAAAGCGTGAAGGTTTGTGCTGCATGCAAACTCGATGAGAAACTCGGAGGGGGTTTAGTTTTTCTGCGAATTCGCATGAACGCGAGCGAGCACACCAAACTTTTGTGGTCCTGTGCCCCTCTTCCACGTGTTAAAAGTTCTGAGTGACGAGTCTTGGCGCTGCTTGCCTCTGGTCGGAAGAAACGCTAGAATCCCCTTTGACTCTCAGTGCTTCAAACAGCACTCGCCGCAGCGGAACGCGTTTCAACCTCGTTTGCCGGGCTGTGGTCGAGCGATATTTCTGGCGGTTGGTGTCAGACTAATTTATTTGAAGGCCGTATAATGTGGTGTTCGACGCTACCCTGTCTGAGTACGATACGAGAGAGAAAATCAACGATAAAGCAGGCCGATATGTACATAATTTTGGACAATCGGTGGCAGGGGTGTAGAGGAGAGTGGGTGAAATGGGGCGGAGGGCGTGATTTCTCTCTGGGAAAGGACGGGTGTAACAACAAGGTGTGAAAGGGGTGTAACTGCTGCGCTCCTTTCACATTTTTACTTTTCTTCTGACACTACAAAACAACAACACCGACAACACTTTTTTTTTCTGTCATGCGCGGAGCTTTTTAGCCGCTTCTAGATATCGAAGCCTCTGGGCTGGAACCCCCTCTTGGCCAATTGTAGTATACGGTATTACTATGGCACCGCTTATTGAGTGTCAGTCCGCATCTCGGGTGGATAGCTTGGTATGCGTCCGTGGGTGACACTCACTTGGTCGAACGACGTTTTAGCGAACAGTTTTCATCGAAAGACGCTTTGACGAATACGCCCGCCTACGCGTCGTCTGCTATCCTCGCTCGCCGAGAATGGGGACCTTGAACGCATGTGAACGCTTGCTCTTGGAACCGATGCCGTCTGACTTGAGCCAAAGCACACGTAAAGAAAAAAAAATGTACGTAACACAGAAATAAAAAGCGAGCTTTACCCACGCGTGTCTCGGCTTCGAGAGGGACGCGTTCTGGGAAAATCCGCATCGCAAACAAGCAGTTGGCCACCGAACAGCAGTGTCTCTCTCTCGAAGTACGTACGCGAGCTCTTTCGGTCAGTGGTTCGCGGCCCGATGCTGCCGCAACGCATCGTCCACCGTGAAGTTCGATGGAGTGTGACGAGGTGAATGAGAAGGGAATCTACGGACCTGTATCCTCTTTGGCGAGCCAACCGTATCCTGGTGTATCGGGGGGAACGCGCGCGGGCCATAGCATGACGGCATGACTTGCGTCGTTAACGATGGGATGCTTTCTTTTTTACTTTACGTTTTGGCTGTGTGGTGCTGCCTGTGTTCGCGACCATTTTGGCTTGGGGCTTGCAGCGTGGTTTAGGCGGTCATTGATGTGTGCCCATCTATCTTAGGGTACTGACACTAGGTCACTCTTTAAATCGTACTGCTTCTTTCGTGTTGCTTTGGTGCCCGCAAAAGAGCGCCTCTTGGCTCGAGCTTAAAGACTGCACTCTATGAAGCGGATGTACGGCGAACGGCCGACGGACTTCGCCCGGCGGTATGTTTGTGCACGGCGCAACATCATCATCATCATTTATTATTCCTTGAACTCCCAGGGGGCATTAAACAAGGGAGTGTGCTTCTCTTCTGACGTCGCGCGCGAAGTGAATGCCACCGGGCGAAATTCGTCGCTTTTTTTTCGCTCTTAGAATTCAGCTTTAGCGTTCATAGGTGCAACAACGGCATGTAAGTTCACACTATTTTTTTTTTTTTTTGCTGGGTGTGCATGTTGTTGGCGTCGGGTACTGCGAAGAGTGACCTCAGCGTACCGCCGTAGGAGCCGCGAGTTGAAAAGACTGCTCGCGATTTGTAACTTAATTATGTGGGCAAAGGTATTTCTAAGTAAATAATGAGTGTAAGAATGTGTATTTACTGATCTAGAGGAGGAAATGTCCGAATGTCGTGACCCCCCCCCTCCCCCCCCCCCCCCCCCCGTCCCGTTCCTCTGTACTACAGCATGTGTAAAATTTTAAGGTGAGGGAAGGGGGGACGGGGTTCTCAGACATCTGGTATGCTGATCCCCCCCCCCCCCCCGGGAAACACTTGCCGCCCTCCCTCCCTCCCTTTGTAAACATGTGGATCTGCCCTTGCCTAAGTGTTTGTGAAAATGAAAGGGTAGCTGTAGCCATTCACTTGCACCAGTGACTTTGGCAGCATTGACTATTGTACACTTCGAATGAAACATAGTATGTCAGAGTTGCTTTGAAACTAACTATAACAGTTCATAGTTGCATGTACCTCCTTGGTCCATTGACCATTTGAAGGCGCTGGTCCAGTGACTATTGGAAGGGCGCGGTTCATTAAAAATTTGAGGGCCGTGGTCCATTCACCATTTAAAGAAACACTTACAAAGTATTTATGCCCGCCAAGGTTCTCCTTTGTACATGACATATGAGAGCTCGACTACCCAGAACACAATTTGCGACTCGAAATTCGTTTTCTTTCTGCCCGAAAGCCGCCGATCGAGAACTGGCCGGTCTGAGTTGGGCTCATTCTGTTCTCTGGGGTTACGTGCCATTTTCTATGGTTTAGACAGGACTACCAAAGATAATCAAAGTCGTGAGTCATCGAAGGCACACACTCAATACTAAAGGTGGACAAAAAATATGATATTCCTTTTTTGTGGCTTCGAAAAAACTGGAAATATATTGATTTAAAAAAAGAGTTGCACAGCCACATGACTTCCGGTAACTTTATCCTCATCTAAATTTCTTCTTCCTTTCCTGTCCAGTTTCGGTTTCGAGCAGTTGCTTTTTTTACTTTATTAAAACTATATGCGATGCTTTAGGACAATATTGATTGGTTAGTGCTCCGACACTAAAATAAATTGCCTGGAAAAAATTAAAAAAAAATAATTGGGGGGGGTGCTAGTGTGACTTTAAAGACAGTTTTTCATTGACCATTTGAGGGCTGGAGTCCGCTGACCATTTGAGGGCCATGGCCCATTAGCCATTTGAAGGTCATGGCCAACTAGCCATTTTCAAGGTCATGGCCAATTAGCCATTTTCAAGGTCATGGCCAATTAGCCATTTCCAAGGTCATGGCCAACTAGCCATTTACAAGGTCATGGCCAATTAGCCATTTTCAAGGTCATGGCCAATTAGCCATTTTCAAGGTCATGGCCAATTAGCCATTTTCAAGGTCATGGCCCATTAGCAATTTTGAAGATCTTGGCCCATTAGCCATTTTGAAGGTCATGGCCCACTAGTTTTGAAGGTCATGGCCCACTAGCCGTTTTGAAGGTCATGACCCACTAGTCTTGAAGGTCATGGCTTATTAGCCATTTTGAAGGGTATGGCTCATTAGCCGTTTTGAAGGGTATGGTCCATTAGCAGTTTCGAAGGGCATGGCCCATTAGCAATTTTGAAGGGCATGGCCCATTAGCCATTTTGAAGGGCATGGCCCATTAGCCATTTTGAAGGGCATGGCCCATTAGCCATTTTGAAGGGCATGGCCCATTAGCCATTTTGAAGGGCATGGCCCATTAGCCATTTTGAAGGTCATGGCCCATTAGCCATTTTGAAGGTCATGACCCATTTGCCATTTTGAAGGTCATGGTCCATTAGCCATTTTGAAGGTCATGGTTCATTAGCCATTTTGAAGGTCATGGTCCATTAGCCATTTTGAAGGTCATGGTCCATTAGCCATTTTGAAGGTCATGGTTCATTAGCCATTTTGAAGGTCATGGTTCATTAGCCATTTTGAAGGTCATAATCCATTAGCCATTTTGAAGGTCATGGTCCATTAGCCATTTTGAAGGTCATGGTCCATTAGCCATTTTGAAGGTCATGGTCCATGGACCATTTTGAAGGTCATGGTCCATGGACCATTTTGAAGGTCATGGTCCATGGACCATTTTTGAAGGTCATGGTCCATGGACCATTTTGAAGGACATGGACCATTTTTGAAGGTCATAGTTCATAGACCATTTTTGAAGGTTTTGAACCATTTTTGAAGGTTTTGAACCATTTTTGAAGGTCGTGGACCATTTTTGAAGGTCAAGGCCCATTGAGCCATTTGAAGGTCAAGGCCCATTGAGCCATTTGAAGGTCAAGGCCCATTGAGCCATTTGAAGGTCATGGCCCATTGAGCCATTTGAAGGTCATGGCCCATTGAGCCATTTGAAGGTCATGGCCCATTGAGCCATTTGAAGGTCATGGCCCATTAAGCCATTTGAAGGTCATGGCCCATTAAGCCATTTGAAGGTCATGGCCCATTAAGCCATTTGAAGGTCATGGTTCATTTAGCCATTTGAAGGTCATGGTTCATTTAGCCATTTGAAGGTCATGGTTCATTTAGCCATTTAAAGGTCATGGTCCATTGAGCCATTTGAAGGTCATGGCCCATTGAGCCATTTGAAGGTCATGGCCCATTGAGCCATTTGAAGGTCATGGCCCATTGAGCTATTTAAAAATCATGGCCTATTGAGCCATGTAAAGGTCATGGCCCCTTGAGCCATGGTTAATTGGCTATGAGAGAGAGAAACAAAGGAGAACACTTGCAAAAGATGAAATACTAATGTTGGAGTCGTAGCCAGAGGCCTGACGGTCGAAGGCCATGGTTCATGGACCATTTCAAGGTGATGGTCCCTGCATCACTTTATTAAGAGTGGCCGACCAATTGGGGTCTGTCCTGGGCTTAATCTCTGCCGGTCTTTCCCTCAGGAGGAGCACGCATGAGGTCTTGGCCTCGGAGTCCCGCCTGCGGTCCTACTCGGCCCCTTCTGAGGATGGCCTTGACGAGATGGGTCAGCGCAGGCTCTACCTCCGGGACACCAACCGCACCCAGCCAATCACGCAAGGCGAGCGGTCCAGCTGCGGTGGTGGCATCGCTCAGAGGTAAGACTGCTTCCAAGAAAAGGAGGGAACTTGAAAGGTGGCAGAAAGAGGGAGGGTGTAAAAAAACTTGTAGCTTGCACCAGTCGAAGTTTACACCTTTAAAGGGACCTGAAACAATCTTGCTATCACTCTGGCTGGCTAGTTTTTGTAATAAATGCTTTGCAACATGAAACAGTTTGTTTGGATGCGCTTGTCCCCATATTTCTTAAGGTCGCCCACCCGTTAAGAGAACAAACCATGGTCTGTTGCAGGTCAAGGGAAGCAGGGCAAACTAATCCCACAAAGCTTTTCGTTCTCCACTTTAGCAGAATGAGCAATGTAGAAAAAATGGGTGGAGAGAATGAAACCACCAACCATGGCAAGACAAGGGCTTTGTGGGAATGGCTTGCCATGCTTTTTTTTAACATGCAACAAACTATTAAAAAAGGATTATCTCTTGGCGTTCGATTATCTGTTTAGCTGGGTTTGCTGAGGTTTAAACATAAATGAGCCCTAATCTTCGAGCTTTGCAAGGCAGGAAAAAGAAAATTAACTAAGGGTATGCAATTGTTGCTTCGTATTGAATACTAGTGTCGTCCCGAGCTTCGACACTGTTTAGAGAGCCAGTATGTTGGCGCTTTACTTTGCACTGGGAATGCTTTGAGTGATTTGGCACTGTTAGACTCGAAATACTCTTCTCCCCCCCCTAAAAAGACAGAGTAACCCATAATGTTCTTGGGACCCGGTCTGTAATGACTGGGTCCCAATAAATGTATGCAGAGAAAAGATTTTGTTTCACAATTTCTTTAAATGATTGACAAAAAAGCTGGGTGTTCGACTGACTAACTTTTTGATAAAACAAAATGCTCTATTTGTGGTCACTTTCTTAATTGGTTAATTGGGTGGGACCTGAATTGGGAAGTAGTGTATGATTGAATGTGAAGTTACTCATGTTGACTAGTAAATATAGTGAAAAGCAAGAGCATACTGTTTAACCACACCCCCATCAATAAATTGCAGATCATAGCAATTAAAACTGATTTTCCTCATTTATTTAGAAGGTATTAGGTATATCTATTTTGTCCAATTTGCAGAAATGATAAACAATTCTCATTTAGCTAGCATTTTATCTTGAAACACTGAAACTCTAGTGAGCATGAATTTATTGAAAACATGCTTAAATCGAGAGTGGAGACTCTTAGAGCTGTGGTACACATTTCCACAGAACAATAATTTTGGCACAAAATTGTGCGCTATCTGTGCTGTGGCGGCCACACCTTGATGTGTGGCTTGTCCTTCCTTGCTGCCCTTGGCTCTGGAGTTAACACAGCTCGCTATCTCTACCAAACAATCTCTTTATGGGCTTCCTATCTTTATTTGGTGGGTGGGGAAGATATCAGAACTTGGATGTTGTGGCAGCACTGCGACGTACATCTAGTTCTAGTGTAGGTGTTCTAATGTATTGTTCTCTGCACTAGTTTTTACTTGAACACAATATATCTATATTACGAATAAAAATGGGAATGAATCCCTTTGAAATGTGTCCTATTTAGGTTCATATAGAAATTGCCGCATTAAAATTATTCTTGGAGAGGACACCTACAGGAATGTTGAAACATGCTCTCCTGATTGTTTGGGTTTTAGGAACAATGTTTTTGTGCTCCTTCTAGATTTTGTTTACATTTTAAATGTGCTTCTGAGCTAATTCTGGTGTTTTTCAGTTTGTGTTCTATGAAGGTAGGCGTCGTTCGCTGGGTCCTTTGATTGAGAGAGAAATTGGTTAAACCTAAATATTTCCTGTCTTTTAACACCGAGACAAAAGTTCCACTTATGTTTACTCACACATGGTCATAAATTTGTCTGTTACACATTGCTTTGTCCTGGAGCTCCTGATGTAGGTCTGTGTTGTGAATGAGATCAAAGAGGGCCTACATTGTCTTCTTGCTGCCCTGAACTTCTTTTGACGAGCCAAGGAGGTTTGTGAGGGTGAATGTCCAATTTCCTGATCTCCCGACAACTTGGCAATTGTTGCAAGAATGCAACAAAGCAAATGCAAAGAAGACGCTAGAAGACGCAAGAATGAATGCAAAGAAGACGCTAGATGCTTTCTAACGTTCGACATATTTTACTTCGTATGTGCAGGCTGGCGGCGCTACGAAAGAGCGGTGAGGACTGGCAGAAGCGCGTTGACAAAGAAGACGTGTCCAAGCCGCAGGTGGCAGTCATTCCCGTCTCGGAGCTCCGCAAGGATGTGGTACGTTCTACTGCCCTTCTTCGCCTCCACCCTCGGGGTGTGCAGAATGCCTTGCAAACCCGTTCCGATGGCACAAATAGTACACGGGACATTCGTAAGACATTCCTAGAATGTTACGATGTCCATAGGTCGTTCCTGGACCGTTGGGAACTTTATAGGCTGTTCCCGGAACATTGGGAAGTTCATGGGCCGTTCCTGGAACATTGGGGAATCCGTAGGCCGTTCCTGGAATGTTGGGAAGTCCGTAGGCCGTTCCTGGAATGTTGGGAAGTCCGTAGGTCGTTCCTGGAATGTTGGGAAGTGCGTAGGCCATTCCTGGGCTGCTAGGAATAGGGTGCCAGTAGGCCATACCTGGGCAATTGGTGCTTGCTGCACCTGTCGGGAGACGGCACCACAAGCACGGGGCCCTTGAGCGGCTCGGTCTTTGTGGGCATCCTCTGTTCGATATGTCCAGGGTGTTTTAATTTCTTTTATGGGAGTAGAGCTACATTTCGAAGTTATACAATTTTACATCTTTGAAAGTTCGAGCTTATACACGCACTAATTGATGTTTGTGGCACATTTTACGACGAACCCTTCATTACGCCCCACGCACCTTGGAAGTAATTCTTAATTGTTCCGGAAGATCATTGAGGTGCAGAAGTCTGCCTCGATCGGCGACCGCAAGAGCTGGCTGGAGACGTCGTCCGAGTCCTGGCGCCAGCGGGTGCCGGAGTCCGACGCGTCCCAGTTCACGGTGGCCGGAAAGATGGGCTGCTCGGAGCCGGTTGCCACCCTGGTCGACCGCAAGAGGCGCACCCCGAAGCAGGAGACCTTCTCCGCAGGTGAGCGTTGCGGCAGACTGCCACGTCGGAAACGACCCGCTCTACCGCGAAACAAATGTTTAGTCGTGCCTGTGCCTACGTGCGCATCGGCATCACTTTCTTGTTTCTGCTGTAATAAGATTTCAGTTTCTAGTCGGAGTTTGTCCAGTTCTCTTCTTTGTCCTAGTTTCAGTCGCACAGTTTTTCCCTATGGCAGGAAGAAGACGGGACAGCGCTATAGTTACAACTGGCGTTTTAATAATAAATATAGGGAAGAGAGGGAAGAAGTTTGATAAGTTACTAAAAACAAAAAGGACGAAAATAAAAAGTAATAAATTGAAAGAATAGATTAAATCGAAACAAATGGAGCGATAAAAAAATGTAAAAAGTGTGATGTGACAGTAAAGAAACTACGAAGGTTAGTGTCATTATTAATACCATTTTTTTGTTTTTTATAGCCGTATTTTCATTGATTTATCCCGTCTCTTCCATCTCTTTCTTTCGTTTTTGTTCTTTTTTTCTTCAGTATAGCTTTGTGGTTCTCAAATAAGGGTCCGGGCCTTATTCGCCTTACAGTCGGTTAAGTCGAGCAGTAAAACTTTTTTGTGTTAATGTTCGCTGTCCCACGATGCTAAATAGACCAAACAATGTGGATAGAGTGAGTAGGGTTGATATTTCTTGGTTTCAGAGCTTTGAAGTCGGTTTTTACGCCGATCCAGAAGGGGTCCTCGGAATCTGGGTGGTCGAGAACCACCGGTACAACTTCTCCCACTCCTTTCTTCTCTTCCTATTGTTTTAAATTAAAACTCAGGTTGCAGGTACAGCGCTGTCCTGCGTTCCTCCTGCCCTTGTCTTCGCACTTGATATGTTCCTTATTTTGAACCAGCTGACCCAGCTTAGTACATGTTGCCTACATCCACCGATCGGACGGGCGTCTTTATGGGGTGCCCGGTTGTTTTGTGCCGAGCTTTGGCTGTACACGCATGTTCGAAACCGTCGTGGAAGGTTCGTGCTGGAGGTGGGACAAACTCCTTCTTGCCGCTGTCATCCTGCGAGCGACTATGGTAGAAGTAGACGAGGGCAAGGCACCAGGATTTTCGCCGTTACTTCGATCGTTCACTGTGTGGAGTTGCAGAGTGTTGATTCCGAGTTGCGATGGTGTGATCGCTCTCCGTAAATGCTGCAGGGTTACTGTTTACTCCGAACGAAGATGGTCTGGAGCTGCCTTACATGCCATAGCCCACCGTTTCCTCCGAGCAGTGCTAGTGTAGAATCGCTCTAATGCGCGACAGCCTCTGTTGCCGTGAACGGTGACAGTGTCGAGTCGCGAAACGTATGTGCCGCCTGTGTGTCGCCGTTTACTCTTTAGCTTGGACAGCGTAAGATCGCTTTGTATACTCGTGCCATAGAGTCGTCGTTTACCCGGAAGAGAGAGTCGCGCTTAAAAGTTTGACTTTTTCTTTGCGATCCAGCCACGAAGGCGGAACTCCGGAAACGGATTCAGGAGCAGGGCACGGCCGTGCTGCCATCCATCTTCAGGAGCAAGTCGATGCCAAATGCCGCCGAAGGTGAGCCCATGACCTTTGACCCCCGTGCACTGTCGGAGGTTTCGGGGTAGCGTCCTAGCTGCTTCGGTGTTTGATTGTAGACTGCGCGAGCTGAAACGACCGGGTGGCGGTCGTTCGCAGAATTGTCTCGCCTGAAAATGGAAGAGGCTCGGCCGATAGCCCTGATTCCCAGGGAGGACAACGAGACGTTTACATCCTTCTTCGAGAGTGTCCTACCGCCCTCCAGGGACAAGGTGGACATCAGCGAGGCATCCTTCGACGACGTCGTCTGCGACAACGTCAAGTAAGACTCGTCGTTTCCCTGAAGGGAGCGAGGGGTCTGTTAGTTGACGAGTTCCTCATTAGCTCTGACGAGCATGTTAGGGCCTTAGTTGCTAATTAGAGACCAAACACAGATGCCTAATTGGTAGGGTTGTGCGATAATTCTTCGTTTCGAATAATACGCTACTTGATATTCGCTTCCAGAAGAAATACACTATTAAAGGTGTACTAAAGACGTTTTTGAGATCGTCTGTTCTTGGTGATAACTCATTCTACGGGATCTCAGCATTTTAGAAATCCAAAAATTATGCTTGTGCGACGTCTATTTCTTTACTAAAAATGGTATAGAAGTTCGTGCCCGCCCCTTTCTGAGTGGAAATATCTGGAGCACAGAATTCAGCGGAGGTGCCGGCAGTGTGACTACGGGCACACGTCAGCCAATCGCAAGCCGCCTTTCTGAGAGGCGGCTTGCAATTGGCTGACGTGCACCCGTCGTCATGCCACCGCTGAATTCTGTGCTCCAGATTTTTCGACTCAGAAAGGGGCGTGGCACAAACTTCTATCACATATTTAGTAGGGAAATAGACGTGGCACGAGCATAATTTTTCGACTTCTGGGATGCTAACATCCCGTGGAATGAGTTATCACCAAGAACAGACTATCTCAGAAACGTCTTTAGTGCAGCTTTAATATTTTCCAAGTGTTGATTGCGGCGGGTTCTCCCCATTTCTCACCGAGCACCATTGCACTGCGGAGAAGCAACACCTGTTATGCAATAGTACATTGTTAGGCCCTGACAACCTGCATTCATCATGCGCAATTTTTTTTTTTCTCAATTTTTACGTTGAAGAGAGATTATTGGCATATAGCAAGTTTGTAAATTTACTGAATTGGGTATAGCTGGGCATCTTTATAGGATTAATTTATGTCAGATCCTTCGTTTACTAGCCATCCCAAGGCATCAGACTTTCTCAAGTCACGGTCCGTAAATGTAGATTAACATTAGCTTGTAAATAAACAAATGGAAGCTCGGGAACAACTTTTACGAGTTTAGCTGGGTATTTTTTTAAGCATCGTGCAAAGCTAGTCAGAGGCGTGGAAAAACGATTAAATATTTTATTCAAATATAAGCGGCAAAAACAACCATTTATTAGCTTTGAACTCGAAACCCACCTTTTGCACATGATTACTAAATGGTTGGGCTACCTCTGATGGAATCTCTTTGGATGGCTGTTGTCTGAAAGGATCTCTGAAAGAACCTCAGTAAAGGTTTGTTTCATTGTCAACTTTTTTATGGGCTTAATTTTTACACTTTATATTCATTATTTGTTTTCTCAAATATGTTGATGTATTTATTCTTAATTAGTATTTTCAAAATGTTCAGCAGTCTTTGCTCGATATATTAGAAATGGCTTGCTGGTCCATATTGCGAAATAGCAGTGGTGAATACATACAAGTGTTTTTATGTGTTTTGTGTTTTGATTGGGCCACTTAATAATGGTCGAGAGACATCACCCTGCGATGGTGAAAAGTTACATTTAAAGTATGCGACATATGACGAATGAAAGTACCGCAAAGTTTGAGAAAAAAAAAAGAAAAAAAAAAGTTTCCAGGGTGAACCTAGCTGCAGGACAAACTGACTCTATTGACTTGTTGGTGTATGTTTTCTAATTTTTTGCTTTTAACTGGATAAGTGATTAATGGGTTGGTTAATGGATCCAACATTCCTCAGGCTGGGCCAGAGGAGACAGGTGAGCGTCCGACGGAAAAAGCAGACCAGGGGCAACCCACTGAAGGCTCTGGCGTCTCGGACGGACCTTCACGCGGAGTACGTCGAGGTCCGAACCAACATTGCGGAGGAAGAGCTCAAAAGGATCAACATTGAGAAACGTGGGTATCTTTTCTCTTTACTATGCTGTGCTCTTCTGACTTCTGTTCGTTTCCGTACTGTTAAAAACGGGTCCAATATTGTGGGTGTAATTAGTATGCGGAATGAAAATGCATCAGAATCAATTACACTCGGTATGGCGCTCGTAATTGCTGCTCCGCGAGCAGCTCCATGACCATGGTGCCTGAACTGCCTTAATGTAACCTCCGTTGTCTTGCAATGCGACTGCCTTAATGAGGAACTCCGGTCGGAAACGAAACGAAAATAAATGACTGGTATCGCTTTAGTGGCACAAAATATGATAGCAACCTAAATATTACGTCAAAGTGAAGCCGCATTGTCCACTAAAACCAATTTTAAAGATGCGGCCAGCTGCTCTTGAGCAGGTGAAGTGGGTTAGCTTTTAGTCGAGCAACACTGGGCGATGCCTACCGCACCACTATCGGGATGTCTCGCCACGTGGCCGTACAGCCGATACCAGTGTTGCCATCCCTCTGTCGCAGATAGTTTCGGTTTTGTCGTACATGCCCGTACAGCTGATACTAGTGTTGCTGTCCCTCTCTAGCAGATTAGGTTTTGCCATAGATGCCCGAAACCAAACTTTCAGCCATGATATTTATAAAACTGCTCGCAATATCGCAAGTATAGCTCGTAATTCATGAACGCTGATTCAGCTGAAAAGTCGTAATCCCATATTTGAAAATATTGACCGGCGTTGCCCTTTAATGCAACCTCCGTTGTGGTGGTTCGCAAAGTTTGTCACATGTCTACTCTCGGCGTTAACACTTGCTGGCAACGTTGGCAGTGGCTCAAAACTCTGACCTGGCCCTCTCTGCCCTGGCTGGCTTGGCAAGCACGGAGGACTTCCGCAGAGTCCAGCTCAAGAAATCGGAGGACACTGGATCTCTGCTGCCCAACCGAGAGCTCATCCTCATTCAGGTGAGCACAGCTGGTTCTCTGCTTACCTGGGGGATTGTCAGACAGGTTTTTGGGGACACTAGTAGAATTGAACTTTTGAAGTTTTCTTAATCTTTTATCGCGTTTTTCGGGTATTCTTATGGCGATTTAGAAGGTCTAAAAAATGTCAATAGACGTGGATGAAGGAAAGTTCATGTATAAAATCGGAAGGCTGCTAACTTTGAGCTCACCTAATGGTGACAAGACGAAACACAAACAGTAGCTCGCAATAATTCAAACTCTGATATTTCATACTCCTGGCTAATTCTAACAAATTTCAAAATGTTGGTTGTTCCCTTGTGGTTTTAATGTATTTAGAAGCCGCTTAATTCGAGGGGAGTTTTCGTCATTTCATGCTTTTAGTTATTGCGAACCCATTGTGTGCACTGCTTGCAGAGCACCGGTGCACTGCAAAGAAGCGTCACCCGCGGAGCTCGCATTCGCGGGTGTTGCTTTTCCGCTGTGCACCGGTGCTTGGCAAGAAGCATGCTCAATGGGTCTAGTAGTCCACAGTAGGCAATTTTCTTGTTAGGTGAACAAACTTGATTCTTAACTTAATTCCATGATAGACAAGATTTTTGAGGGATGAATATACATATCTTGCACATTTTGCCAATGTTTCGTGCGTGGCGTAGCATATACCCACTTATGAGTAGTAGGCCTGTGTAGATGACGTCATTAGATATTTGTTATGTACGTGTAGCCATCCGTATAGCATATCGTAATTTTATCTTGCATCATATTTATATGAATTTTTGATAATTCAAACAAAATTTAAGGTTTACTTGAGTTTCAATTAATGAGTCTAGGGGTCCCCATGCTACACGGAAAGACCAAGGAACCGGAACAATGCAGTCTGCTGCGATTGGTCAGCGCCGCACTGCTGACCAATCGCAGCCTGGTCCTACCGTGTAGCATAGGGCTTTGGGTGAACATGCTAAAATTTTCTCCATCTACTTGCCAACATCAATAAAACAACACCAACAACATTTTTCTTAAAAAAAAAATAGCATTAGAATGCATGGTCTTCCACAAGCACGTTCAGAAACATTATTTCTTTTAGTAAAAGGTAGGGGTGTGTGAATATTCGAAATGCGGGCTCTTTCATTTGATTTGCTTCGCTCTTTCACTGTTCGAAGTATTAGAGTACGGAACACGCTGATTAGTGTCAACTCGTGGTCGAGCTACCCGTTTTGTTTTTGGATTGCGCAGTATGGTTTTAAGCTTGGCAAACCCAAAAAGCGAACCCAAGTGCTTTTTGCAAGGGCAGGGCTATTGTACACTGAAAGAGATGGCTCAAAGTCCGCGAGGCTGCATGGCGCGATCGCACGATCTCCAGCTCTGCTGTGGCCTGCCGACGCACCTCCGCTTATGTACTTCCGTTTATGTTCACGTGGTTACGTTCACCCGCGTAAAAAGAGATTGCACAAAGTTGGTGCAGCTGCGCGACGCGATTTTTGACTTTGTATTTTGGCTTGCCGACCTGCCACCACTTATGTACTTTTGGTTACATTCACATGGTTGCATACATCCACGACGCGATCTCCGACTGCGTAGTGGTTTGCTGACCCGCCTCCACTTGTGTACGTTCATTTACGTTCTGTAACTTCACTCCTTGAAGGGTGTTTTACTGACAGATCTTTTATTGCATGTTTTTTTTTATCAGTTACATGTGCGACATTTTTCTTGTTGCAATAAAACTAACCTTTTCGTAAATGTTTGTTGAAAAAAAAAAAGTTCCAGTTGTGTTTTGATTGAGCATTCTTGTTTAATTCACATCAAGTCGAAAATATTTGTTTTCGAAAATGTTCTTATTAAAAACTACTATTCGTATTCGAAAATATTTGATTCAATACGTAACCTCTATTAAATCATTCGCTTCGAAAGATTTTGACATTTGCAAACCTCTAGTAAAGACTAAGTGCGCAGGCGAGCTGGTGGTAGCTATTCATGTCGTTTAACACTTGAGACATGTGCAGAAAAGGAAAGAACTTTTAGTCGAAGGAACAGACACAGAAAAGAATGATTATTTTTTTGTCATCCCAAAATGGTGAAAGGCTCGCCGATACACTCGCCTCCTCCCCCATCACTTGCAATCTCGGTAAAATGAGGCTCAGTCGTTTCCCTTTGTCTTCTCATTTGCTGCTTTGACGAACTCGGTTACCTCTAGAAGCGGCTCGCAACCGCATTGCTCGGAGCATCCCCCTAATTTACAAACAGAAAGTGTCAAAAGAGCGAACGAGCAGAAATTTTTAGTGACTTAGTATCCCCTGACCGCCAATTAGTGACGTAGGAAATTCGGCGCTGCAGCTGTGTTGACGCTTTTGCAGGTGAAGGGCCGCCGGCATGTGCAGACCCGACTCGTGGAGCCCTCGGTGTCTTCCCTGAACCATGGCGACGTCTTTGTCCTCGTGACGCCGTCGGATGTCTTCTGCTGGATCGGGAAGCACAGCAACATCATTGAGAGGACAAAGGTGGGTGAGAGCCCCAAAATGAACCTGGAGTGTGTTGGGAAATGCAATAATCGCCAGGCGCTCTCCGGCTGCACGTCGTGAGCGACAGCCCTTGCGGTCTTGCCAATTAGCAGAGTCTGCTGTGGCTGGCTGCGATTGGCTCACTGGTGGTCATTGCTGTGCCACTCCTTTTGAGCCTTCTTCTGGTTCCTGCTTTTGCAATGGTTTATTTTGGATAGAGTTTCTTTTGGGGGGGGAGTCGGGCTTGCAAACACTCTGCAGGTTTTTTAGGTTTGGGGTTTGCTGGTGATTATTCAAAAACTGAGGAAACAAGGGATGCAGTCGCATAGACGTGGTTAGAAGATCGGTCAAAAAGATTTAGAGAAGTGTGGTACTGTGTAGACCGCATATAACGTATGTCTCAGGAGTCGCGAAAATCCGCACTATAAGCGGTACCGCACTATAACCAAAACATCAATTTTTCAGGCCAAAATACATGCCATGAGACAACTTACCTTTGTAAAAGAATTTATTTTATGTTAGATGAAAAATAAAGCTTAGTTTGAGGAAAGTCTTTATTTCACCAGACTAGTACAGTTCTGTCTCAAGTGTGTCACACATTTTGAAAGAAATGAGCGGCTTTTGCCTGGCGCAGCCTTTTAACGGCATCGCGGGTTGCGGACGGACGTTTCGAGCGTTCAGGATTGCTAACCCTAATCACTTTTCTCCGGAGATGAAAATGCGTGAAAATTCGCATCCTTCATACGGTACGCGCCAGTAATACCTTGAACTTGAGCACACGCATGAAATGCGCCAAATAAGAAATCCGGGCGATGTTCGAGGACACAAATGCTTAGAAATCACCACTGTAGTCGAAGTAAACAAACACGACGACACGGGCGTTTCTGCCGTCTTGAGAGCGCCGCCACGACATCGCCGCACGAGTAGGTGGATCTTCCCTTCTAGTACGTGCTGGGTTATCATAGCGACACACAACGAAAATTCAGAGTCAAGGATAGCGCTTTTACGCAGAACGATGAGATGTACGCCGTCTACGACGACGATCACAACCGACGCCTTGTTCGCGGAAAGGCATGCAACGCGCGCGAACACTTCTCCTCGACCTGCGATTGGTCTGTCGTTGCGGTTGTTTGTTTCTTTGTTTCCAACGCAGCGGAGAGACGCACGCACGTGAACGACTCGTGCGTGCGTCCCTCCGTCGCTATGGCAACTGAAGCCTCTCTCTTCGCTTCTCCCCGCGTTTTCAAGCAACCTCCTTGCCCCGCGATTGCAGTTTGCGGCTCGCGCCATCAGCGCCGTTATCTAGTGTCGCACAGGGAAGCGAGCTCGCTGCTCCGGTCGTCGGCGCGGTCGGCGGGCTGTGCCAAAAACCGCACTATAAACGGTATTTCCCTTCGCGCGCCTGCATTTTAAGCGGTATATAAATACATGGAGTTCTATGGGAGGTGAACCGGTGGTTTAAAAAAACCGCGTTATACCCGGTCCTGCACTATAAGCGGTTACGTTGTAAGTGGTCTATACTGTACAGTCTAAGCTCGTTATAACAGACCTTGATTTTGACCATGATTTCGGTCTGTTGTAAAATGAGTATGTTGTATGCAGATATGAAGTTGAGTCAATGGTATGTAGAGGAACACCAACCAAACTTTACAAATTGGTATGTTATACCCAAATGTCTCTTGTAACCAGGTCTGTTGTAATGAGCTTAGACTGTATTACACAAAATTGGTGGGTTAGATGTCTATTGAGACGGAATGTAGAGTAAAATTTAAAGGGGAAGGATATGCATTTTCCAGGCTAAGTGGTACAAGCTACCACCCAATACAAGGGTACACAATACCACCCATCTATCCATCCAACTGTTGTAGCATGCAAAGTTTTGTTAGTATACTATTGGTGTTAATACCAGATGTACAAAATACAAAAATTTCAAAAGTTTAACAAAAAAAAATAATTGTGAAGCGAGGTTGATTAAACAGTACGGTAATAACTTAATAACTTGTGCAACATTAAAGAGAACAAGAAAAAAAAAAAAAATGTTCACCGCAATTTTGTTTGTTGTCCAGGCCACGGACGTGGCCCAGAGCATCCAGAGCAAAAAGGACCTGCTCTTCAAAGGCTCCTCAGAGGTCAAGTTCATCGATGAAGACAAAGGGGACAACTCTGCTGACAGCCAGGCCTTCTTCAAACTTCTAGGCGGAAGCCCAGACGAATGCAGCCCTGCAGGTGACCCTGGAGAAGACCTGGTACGTGACTTTTTGCACACCAGGGTGCTCCAGAGCAACCTTTGGATTGCCCTGGAGCAGTTTTGGGCTCGCCATACTTTTTCCCTTAACGGTGGTGAAAGGTAGACTTACACCAAAGTCCAATGAGCTGGAAGGTTTCTGAATCTTAAAGTGCTGTGTTTTAACTGGGCAGTGTATAACTACGTACAGTAGAACCTCGTTGATACGTTCTTGGTTGATACGTTTTCCTGTCCGTTGCGTTCAAAAACGCCGGTCCCGTTTTACTTCCATAGAGATACATGTATTAGTTTCCTGCCTGTTACGTTTGCTTTCCCGGTTGTTACGTCCAAAAGTGCCGGAATCGCGGCGCCTCGGCGCCTCGGCGCGCCGTGTGCCAAGGTGCCACGCCGGCTTGAAGCAAAGCGAAGCAGAGCCGAACAGCCGAACCACGCAGCGCGGATCGCGCGGCCGCGCGGCACGCGGGCGCCCCCCTTCTTTTTACTCCTTTCCCCCTCTTCCCCGGTCTCCTCACTGGGCTTTGCTGAGCTCTGCGAAAACGCTCGTTCTCTCTTGCTCTTTCTTTTCATCTGTCGTCTCTCTCCGGCGCGAGTTGTTTACGCGCCGCACACACGCCGGGACGCTGCACTGGCTGCACTGGCTGCACTTCCAGTTTCTGTTCCGCTCGACAGCTCGACTGCGTGAACAGTGCCGTTTCTGAGTGTGTGCGCGTTGACGAAGGCCATGACATCCCGAAAGAGAAAAGCACTCTCTTTTAAAGAGAAGTTTGACATACTTCGCACGGTGGATCGAAATCCCAGCCGGAAGAGGTCTGAGGTCGCAAGAGAGCTTGGACTCGCGCCGTCAACTTTAAACAGTATCGTCGCGAGACGAAAGGAGATCGAGGCGAAGGCTCCTTTCTACCAACCAGGCTTTAAACAGGCTCGGGGGTCAAAACACGCAAAGTTAGAGGAGGCCCTGTTGGTATGGTTCAAACAAGCCCGGGCATCTTGTGTCAACATCGACGGAGGCATTCTGTGAGAGAAGGCGCAAGAGATTGCTGATCGTTCGGATATCGAGCATAGCGGACATTGTGGCCGACCTCACTACTGCCGACAACGAAGAAAGTGATGAAGAAGACGAACAAAAAACCAACGATTACGCTGCACCCACGTTTGCGGACGCGATCGCTGCGTTGGACACCTTGCGCCGCTACGTAAACGTTCATGACTGCGCGGAGAGTGAGAGGGGACTGCGGCTTCTGGAGAAACGACTTTTACTGCATACCATTAATTCGAAGCGGCAGGTGGATATTACGCGTTTTTGTGAACGTGTCTGAGTCCAAAAGAGCTCGGTAAGTGCATAAAATAAACCATTGCATAAGAGCTGCTTTCTATCTTATATAGAGTGCCTTTAAGTGCGTTATCGGTTGCTGCGCTTTCTCGGTTGATACGCTTTTTTTCCGCGGTCCCCTGAAAAACGTATCAGCGAGGTTCTACTGTATTTTATAGCGGGAGCAATGTTTGGGCATAAAATGGTGGTCCATCGCGATATCCTGCTCTAGCAGTTATCCCTTTCAATTCTTGCAGAGGTTTGAAGCAGCCATTGTGGACACAAATATGGTGTACACTGTGGAAGGGGAAGCCCTGGTGCCCTGCGACAAGTACTGGGGCATGCAGCCACGAGTGGACATGCTGCAGCCCGACAAGGCAAGCCCACCCTCCTCCGGCCTAGGAAACTTCGAATGACTCCATCTGCTGCTGTTTCTTGAGCCTTAAAGGGCAACTTTGCTCAATTCCAAAGATTTTTTGGATAATAAGGGATTTCGCATTAAAAGCCCTAGTAAAAGAAGCTACGTCATTTGCTTTGCGAAAAATGGGATATATATTGGTAATTATAATTTTAAACACGAGCAGAAATCGAAACCTCGGTTCTGTCCGGCAACATTGGCCTCGGGCCGCCAACATTGGCCTCGGGCTGCCAAGAACATGGCTATCGCGTGGTATAAGACGTCACGTGATCCTTTACGCAACGATGGGTGGGATTGTGGCAAGCTTGTGCCATGCATGAGTGTCGTCTGCACCGCGCTCTTTACTGACGACGTCTGCACAACTGCGACATAAGTCTGTGCATGTAGTGTGTGTAGTTTGAACGAAACTCCGAGAAACGGTAATCACAAATGTTAAGACAACGGCGGTTGTGACGCGGGAGACTGCGGGACCACAGCGGGACGGCTCCCAAGAAACGCGCTACGCACACGCGTTACGCCAGTCACAAAGACATTGCTGAGCACCGAAAGGAAACATTGCTGACGTCGCCTGTTACGCCTGCACGGAGAAGTAAAATCAAGCAAAAAAGGGCAGTGGTGACGATGTTTGACTCAATATTGGCTGCGCCCACGCCTTAGGCTTGACTGCGTCAAAAGATCCCCAGGTGGTCGAAATTAATCCTCAGTCCTCCGCTGGGACGTGCCAGATGCCCGTCGTAGGTTTGGCACGTAAAACCCCCAAATTTGATTGATTGTAGGCTTGACTGCACTGTTGGTTGCACATCGCCCGCTCGAGTGTGCCGATTTCGGCAACTTGATGTGTTGCTAAGTTTTTGGACCGTTTAAGAAACATTTAGACAGAACTAGGTCGTAATATTTGACGTTTGGTCTTCATTGGTGATACTGAAGACTACTACATTGTTTTTTCAAAAACAAAAATGAAGCGGAGTTGCCCTTTAAGTGATTAGTACAGCAAAGTCCTTCTTGCTACTCTTTCTTTAGCCCTCTTCGACTAGCCATGTGCCGTCAGCGAATTTTCTCATGTGACAACTTCTTCTGAAGGGTCCGTCTATGCTGGGTGAATGGGACTATTACGACTAACGTCTGTTGGTAGAAAACGAAAATGGAGCAAAGAAATATTGACCTGTAGTTTGACAAATTGGTTGATTGATTGGGTAACCATTTAATTGGGCATTTTCTAGATCAACATTTTGACCTATTGGTCTGTGGACTGGGCTACCAACTGACAAACCGATTTATTTCCCAACAATTTTATTGATTGGGCACTTGCTTTCCTGCTAGTTGAACAAATTGGGCAATTGATTGGGTGATGAATTGACAAATTGATTGGTCAACTATTTTAAATATCAATTGTGTAACTGATTTATTAATATGTTGACAGATCTGTCTACTGATAGTTTGGCACATTGGTTGAGTGATCAATTGATAAAATATTTGACTGACTGATTGATTGATTTGGGTGATGGGTTGACTGATAGTTTGACAAACTGGTCAGTTGATTCGGTGATTGCTTGGCCAATCGACTGACTGACGGATTGACATTGATTCTGCGCAGGCGTACGTGTTTAACTTCGGGAGTGAAGTGTACGTGTGGCTGGGCAAGCAGGTGCCCAGCCAGCTGCGCAGTCTGGCCGTTCGGCTGGCCGAGGAGCAATGCAAGGCGGGCTTTGACTACTCAGAGTGCGACATCAACCCCCTCTTCCCCAGAATGGGTATGTTCGTCCTCCCAGGGACCGCCCTTTCTACTGCCGTCTGCACGAAAACTAAGACATGCAAATTCGCGGGGGAGCGATCGTCCTCGGTAGTTCGGCCAATGGGAGCCATTGTTACTTGCACAATATCCGTAGCTCATCTGCGAGGGTGATTAAAAAATTATTTGCGCAAACCTTTCGGTACCCATCTCGCTCAAACTTCTTGACACACGAGTCTGTCGTGGATTACTGCATAGGCGGAGCCTCGACTGATTTGAAAACATTTTGCCACCATCCTTTGTCACTCGTCTATCTGAAAGATTCACTTCACGGGCACGCTCAAATTTGTCATCAGTTGTGGACGCGGACGGGCGCCCAGCTTCATGGCTGATAGTGTGCATGCTTCCTAAAACTTGTTCATAAATTCAAACACACTTCTTTGCTACAAAACAGTTTCTCTACACTGCACAAAGTATCGGCATCGCACACCCTCGGACCACAAAAGACAAATCGCTGCACACTGCTTTTTCTTGCAAATCACAAGTGGGACAGCCATTGTTTCTTTCACTGCAGTCACAGCAGGACATATCGAATTCAAAGGGGAGCTTAAAATAGTTTGATAAACCATTAATTTGATATAAAAAATAAGTTAAATTAAGCTCGAGTTGAAATTTTCTGGTGGCGTCTCTACTAATACCGAAGGTCGTGACACGGGAGCTTACCAAACAGAGCATTTGAGAGCCGCTAAATACAGTAGAGCGTAGTTGGCGGAGATTGCAAGCACCGCTGCGCTTACACGCGCGCCTGGCCGGGACCTTCACACAGCGTAAGCGACAAAACGGGGAAATAATAAAAAAATCATGAGCCGTTCCACTTTGTGAAATTGGATGACCAGCGAAGCTGTTTAGCACACGACACAGACGGGACACAGAATTTTGAACAAAGGTACGAACAGATTTGTTGCCTCGATCGGTGGTCATTGTGACGAACGGTACGCACACACATATCAAGGACTATCGTCAAACGGAGGGGCCGGAGCAAACTAAACACGTGCGAAGGGACCAGCACCCACCACCCAGCGGAAGGAAAGGAAACTAGGCACAAAAGTGCTTGGAACAACGACAAAGAGAGGGCGGTGTGCTTCCCTCCTCCTCCTCCTCTCCGCTAATTTTCCCACTAAATTTTGCGGGGAAAATGGAGTTTTTGTATATGCAGACGAAAAATCCCCGGAACCCTAGCCATAAATAGCTTCACTGTAAAAAAATTAAGAAAAACTGAAAAGCGAGATGCATAAAAGAAAAAGGCTTGAGGCACATCTAAGCACTTCTTATGAGTACCTCCGTGGGTTCCCAAATTCCGTCGACCCTCCTCGCCCCCTGTATTGCGTCTTTGTTTTGTTTAAATAGAATTTTTAGAAGGTGTGAGCCACCCACTGACGCACAACTTTGAGCCCTTTGTACTATGTGAATTATTGTTTACAAGGCTTGTAGCCTTCTGCACTACTTGCCAAGACCTGGATTGACTTGGAACGCGCGCGTGTGCTTTTCTCCCGACGCAACACGAAGGTCCCAAGACGGAGGAGGCGGGGATGTCGAGTGACGTGCGCCCGAACTGGGCGCTCTTTGCCAAGGTGAACCAGCACATGGAGCCCGTGCTCTTCAGGGAGAAGTTCCTCGACTGGCCGGACGATGCCAAGCTTATCCGGGTCAAGACGCAGGAGCAGGAAGACAGGAAGGTGGGTGCCATCTTGGTACAAGCTCTCCCGGAGTGGGATGTCCTTCCCCGTCGAGAATTGTGTCGACGCAGAGTGCATTTCAGGACTGATCTGTGAGGGTGAGCCCCCTAGTTTGAATGATGTTAACTCAAAGTGCATTTTAGCGTTGCTTTTCAAGGCATTGCAGACAGGTGCCACCAAATGTAACACGGCTGGGTGTTTTTACAAAAGGCGCTTCATCCCTTGCCTGTAATCGAATCCTGGACTTCTCTTGCAGTAATCAGAGGCTCTGTTCCTTCGCCAGTGGAGCGGCTTGGAGGAGTGCCGCTGCAGCCGCCTTGTAGTCCTAATGCCATAGAAACAGTTTCTTTCCCCAATGTTGCGAGAGGTCTCGGAACATGTGCACGTGATCGCTATAAGTTACATGAGCATGTAATCCCCATAAGTTGCGTGATCGCACAATCATGTAACGACAAAAGCCACAGTTCCGGTTAAACCCTACTATTTGTGCTTCTTGGAGGAAAAAGGGGTTGTTTTTATAGCGGTGAAAGGTACGAACCATAAAGGTTTCATCGAACCATAGGAGCATCGTCGAACCATAGAGGCTTCTATATTGAAACCTTTGCCTATCCGCCCTGCACAGCCGCAAGGTAGGGCGATGCAATAGGCTGTGATGAAAACGAGCTTCTTATTTTCATTTTTAAAAATAAAATGTTAGGTTAGGTGAGTGACGCCTTGGGAGTCGTAGGCCCCCTGCAACGCACCCCGTGCTCACGCAGACGGACTCCTGGGACTCATGCCTGCGTCCCTGCGACGCCAAGGAGCTCCTCGCCCGGGACCCCGTGGAGCCAGACCTGGAGTTGTCCGGCTCGCACCTGGGACGGGGCCTGGAGTACTACGACAGTCTGGAGCGCCGCCAGTACACCATCTCCACGCTGGGCCTCAGGGTGAGCAACGAGGAATCGTTTCCTCCATTTGTGTGCAAAGGGATCTCTAGAAGCATCCTAACAGTAGAACAAAAACGTTTTTCAATCATTAAATTTTCCCTCGCCGCAGTCTCGTGCATTACGCATTACAATATTAATTTATTGACCCCTCAAATTGTCCGCGGGGGGCTTTATATAGGAGGCGTACAAAACATTAGAATGTGTCGAATAACGCAGAGGAAAAATATGGTAAAACATTGGTCGGGTTATTACGCGATTAAACGAGGCAGTGAGAGCACTCGGAAATGCAGTTGTGGTTGTTTGCATGGGCCAACGTTTGTCCCAGGTGTGGCACATCACCGAATACGAGCACAGGGCACTGCCGGAGTCCAGCTACGGCCAGTTCCACAGCGGCGACACCTACGTGGTGCGGTGGCTCTACACCGTCACCCAGACAGGTGGGTTGGAGGATGGGGGCTCCGGGGAAATTTGTCACCAGAGTGCAGCGAGTAGACTGGCGAGGGTTTGTTTGGCTTCAACCTTTCCCCTTATTCTAAGATGGTCACATGGCCTAGATGCACCTCCGTACACTATGAAAGGTTTTCATTATGACTGGTAGAGAACAATGCAAACAAATATGAGGAAAAAAGAAATGTTTCCGTTCTTGTTTATTCAGCGCGTGAGGTCGATTTTCTTTTGAGGTGGTGGGACATTGGTTTACTCTTTTGATGAGAAATTTAGCCAGTTGAGTACCACTGCTAGCCTGGGGCATTTAGCGGGCATTACGCAGTAGTGATGCACAACCACAAGCGGGTACGATTCTCATCTAGATGGGCAGGAGTGGGGATTGAACTTAGCGTCCCTGGGTTGTACAGCCTGAGCTTTCGCTCAGTGTGCTCAGAGCAGCGGTGTGCTAGCATGTACTTGGCCATTGATGCCCCATAAATAATATAAGGTCACAGATGCAGTGCCGAAGGCTTTGGTTCTTTTCAGTATGGCCATTCGCTTATTTCGGTTGTGCTTGCACGTGGCACAAAGTGGTGTTTCCTATTAATAGGTATAGCCCGCTATATGCAAAGAGAAAGTCGTCTGCTTCTAACACAGGAGTTGCAGAGACGTCAGAATGATCCAGAATGATTGAAAGGACAGTGGGTAGACCTCAATGGTAGGCACCTTGAGGTCTACTCACTACTTTTTTTTTTTTCAATCGGCCAATAAGAGCTCAGAATTCTGACATCATCGCAGCCCCTGCAAAGAAAAGCAGATGAACTTGCACTCTGCATAGGCAAGTTTCAGAAGTTTATGAACAGATTAGATAGATGCATTTTTGCCTCGTTACTATAAACAACTCGAATTATGGACAATTTGCGGGTGAAACGGACGTGTCCATATTAACGAGACGAGTGTACCGTAGTTTTATCGCATTGTTTTTCTGGCGGGCAGTGCCGAGACATTGCGTCAGACGCATCTGATGGCTGTCTTGGGTTTCAGGTCGGGACCTGTCCGGCCAACGATCCCGTCATGCGGGCACGGGCCGCGAGCGCTGCGCCTACTTCTTCTGGCAGGGGCGAGACTCCACGGTTACCGAGCAGGGGGCCTGCGCACTGCTGACCATCGAGCTCGACGAGGAGCGCGGACCCCACGTCAGTGCACCCCCTTCTCCATTTCCAGTCTCCCTCGCCTCAGAAGATGCCCGCCGGGCGGGCATTTTAATGTGGAATGTGTTATATAGCCGGCGCCTTGCACTTTATGGTAACGTGCTTCTACGCGGAGTTTTCAGATTTTTATTACGAGGAACCCCTTTACCGCCTCAAACGTCGGTCAGGAAGCCGCTCTCGGTGTTTACGGAATAAGGCAGTGCAGACACCGAAATCAATCGATCAGTCAGTCTTAAGATAGCCCACTCCTAGTAACTGCAGGCCTCTGGTCAAAGGTGACGCCGGCAGAGATGGCGTTACTTAGCCATGACGGGAGATAAGCAAACATTGCTGACTGGGAATGGCAGTCGAATTTGGTTCATTGCTCCTCTCTGCGATCAAAAGGTCAGAATCCAAAACTATAGTATGTGACGGGTTGAAAGTAACATGGAAGCTCCTCCGACGTCTTTCCCCTTTCGTGGTGCTAAATACGAGGTCGCCTCCACTACAAAAATATATGTTAAGCGTCCGATTCGACCGGAGCACTTGTGCCTAGATTGACTAAATTTTCGGTGAGAGGAGGGGCACTCCTCCGGTGTTTTACGGTACTCCTTATTTTCGCTTTGTTTACTTTCAATATTATGCACGTTATCTCTCTGGATGTTGCGGTGGTTATGCATCGGTGAATGGCTCACGTCTTCTAAAATCGTGTTCAGTGTGTGGAAACTCCAAGAGGCAGTGATGGCCAAAAACATTTGAGAGCTCATGAACCCTTCCTAGGAACCCGGTTCCGAAACCCTTGGTCTATAGAATTATCTGTATGGCAGCGAAGTGTGAGTGTGTGTGACTTGTGTGAAGTGCCATTACATCAGCCAACCAGCAAGTGTGGCTAATTGGAGTTGCGGCAACATAATGCCACCTTCCCTGTGCGTGCAGGTGCGTGTCCTGCAGGGTAGGGAACCGCCCTGCTTCTTGAACCTCTTCAAGGGCAGGATGGTCGTCTACAAGGGCAAGCGCGAAGAGGAATCCAAGACCTCTGGTCAGTGCTCACGCCCACCGACCCTTTCGTTCCTTTTTTTGGGGGGAGGGAACATTGAGAAGTTTTATATACGGTTTATCTTGGAGTATGCCATACGGTTAAACGGATATGTATTGATGGCTGACATTGATTAGCGGGGAGAGTGCTTGCTTTTTTCCCAGTCATCTTGGTAACCAAAAAACTGCCATTTTCTGACTCTACAAAGGAGCGCAGATATGTAAATTTGAGGTGGCTGATTATCTACAACCACGTTCTTTGTGCCACAAATGTCTTGAGATCCTATTTTCAGATTTTAGATGATGACGATGTCTTTGGGAAGCTTGAAAATGGGTTACTTTGTTATGCCGAAGCCGGAGAGCGCATAGGTGGCCGCATTACTCAGTGGCGTAGCTAGGAATTCTTTTTTTTTGGGGGGGGGGGGGGGGGGGGGGGGGGGGGGGGGGGGTTCTTTGTGTTTGTAGTTGATGTACTGTACAATTCATAGGTACGGACATGGCCATCCCCAAACCCCCGATTGGCTGAAACAATTCGAAAGTCAAGCAATATTCGGTTTCATTTTTCTGGAAAAGAAAGAAAACGTGCAATGGTTTCTTCTTTTTTTTCAAGAGGGGGGGGGGGCTTGAACCCTTCAAAACCCCTGCCTATACAAGTGCAGAGGTGGATTTATGTGTCATGCTTGGGACGGGTTGACGGGACGGGACGGGATGGTAAGATTTCGGCTGGCGCGGGGCGGGAGTCTGCTGAGATGCCGTTGTGGTCAAAACGATGCCCAGATCAATTTTGTTGATCCAATATTTCCTATGTCAGTGAAAACTAAACATTTGACTGGTGTATATGAATATTTTCATTTAAAAAAAAAAGTTGACCTTGTGGAGCGTACAAGGGGTGGTCACCTCCCCCACCCTCATTTCGCTCCTACGCCACTGTTGCAACTAGTAGATCACATCATTCTATTTTTGACAAAAACAACGATGGTGTAGACGAGAGAAGAAACACTTTTAGAAACAGCTCGACTCGCCCCAAGCTTCTGAAATGCACCGGGAACAAAGCGCTTATTAAATGCGGGATTCCAAAGGACGACGCGTGGTTTCCGATTCTTGCAGGGGCCTGGCGGATGTTCGTGGTGCGTGGAGAAGCCCCCTCGGAGGCAGCCCTGGTGGAGACCCGCCTCGGCGTCGAGAACCTGCGCACCCGGGGGTCCTTCCTGGTCCTGGGCACGGGCTGCGGCAAGCTGTACCTCTGGCACGGGGCACAGTGCTGCCGCCACGCACGCCGGGTGGCCACCCACGCCGCCAAGGCCATCGTCCAGCGGTGGGTCTGTTGGGCGGCACGTACTATGGGCCGGTCCACACTTGTGCGTCCGACCCTGCTCCAATGCGTCGCGTCCCCTCGTTCACGGGTTCTTTTTGAAGTGTTTCGTTCACGTGAAAACGAAATGAGTCGCCGTGTCACGTGACTAGAGTCATCCGAAACGATGGGGAGATGGCTGACGGCAAAGATGATGGAAACATTGTTTATTTCCATGGAAAAGGTGTCCAGTTCTCTTCACTAAAACTTGCGAGGAGAGAAGACACGGGCGCCATCTATCGGGCGAACACTGTTCCCGCCCACTCTTGAGGTGTGCGTTGCTTCCTCTTGCAGGACCCCTGCCGAGATGGGACTGAGCGCCGGCACGGAGCTCCAGCTCGTGGAAGTGAATGAGGGCTCGGAGGTTTGCGAGTTCTGGGACGGGCTGGGCGGGGACAAGAAGAAGAAGCAGCACCTCTTTGTCTCCCTTCTCGACTGTGAGTGCACCACGACTTTTTTCATGGAGTCGCCGACCGGTTTTTGTCACCGATAATTCAAACTTGCTCTATACTTCGAGCCTAAAGGCGGGACCGTGACCCACCCAATAGAAATAGTGCATATTCACGACCGACATTTAGTACAGCTTGAACTCCGAAAGCTAGATTTTTTGGACAAAACCGTTGCGAACGATTAGCGAGAAACTCCCCCGAGAAGCAGCCGTTTTGGATTTTGTTGGCTGCACATGGATTGGCTTAGATTGGCAGCGTTACTTGAGAACTGCTAGGCGACGCTGTACGGCTAGGCAACACTGTACGGCTTTTTATTCTCTAGCTGCGCGTCATTGTCATCATTGTTGTTGTCACCATTTTGCTTTGTTCTTGCACCATTGCAGTCGTGGACTTACACCTCTCATCTCGTCTCGGTGAACAGTGTTTTTAGACAGCGTTGGCTTTGACGTCATTGCTTACATCTGTTCTTCCGCCACCGCAACGTGTAGCTAAGTGATGCAGAAAGCAGTCGACCGCAACGCCAGAGAACTCAGCAGTTCTCAAGCTAATAGAAAGTTGCAGAGCACAAACGGAGGCGTAACCTGTACCAAGGTTACAGCTTTTTTAAGCCCACTTAAAAGTAGTAAAGGCAAGTTTTTTAGTCTTCTTTCGGACTGCTCTACTATTCGGACGTTTTTCTGGTCCCTGCGAAGTCCGAAAAGTCAATCGGCGACTGTAGGGCAGATCCAACGGGGAGTGCTCGTTGCTTGCGCCAATCTTCCTTTGTTCCCGTTTGTTGCGCGCTCTATTTTACACCGAGTCGGTACCGAGTGCCCCAGATCGTGACGCTTGTACTTCATCTCGTCTCGAGGAACCTCCCGAGAAAAACGATGGAGCATGTTTTTCCGCTCGCACGTGTACCCACAGCTCCCCTGGACTTCCGGTTCACGCCGAGGCTGTTCCACGCCACCCTGGTGTCTGGGACGTTCGAGGCCTGCGAGGTGTCCTGCCCGTTCCAGAGGGTGGATGTCCCGTGCGCCTACCCGTTCCTCCAGTCGGACCTGTACAACGCGCCCCAGCCAGGTCTGCGGCACTTTCTCTCCTTGCAGTCAACATTTTGACATGCAGTCAAAATTGACAGAACCGATAAAGCCCAAAAACAGCATTGTTGCTTAGGGCACTCATATTCTTTTTTTCTTTAGATTTTTTTTTTGTTAGAAAGCTTTTTCGATTTTTTTTTTTTTATGTATAGGGGAGTAAGATATAAAAATATGAAGAAATGCAAAAATGCAAACCGGTCTCACGTGTTCAACCCTGTCTGAACGCACAAAAAAAAAAAAATTTGTTGCTTGTATGTTTATACAGCCTCGATGTTGGTACGCCTCAACGGGTGACCTGTCTCTTAGCTGTAGATGAGAAATTTAGCCAGTGCAGTACAACCGCTAACCTGGGTTTTTTTAACGTGCATCGCACAGTAGGGATTACATGAACGCGTGTCGGTATAAAACTCATCCAGATCGAAACGGGTGGGCGGTGGGGATCGAACCCAGGAGGTTTCGCAGCGCAAGCTTTCACTCCACGCTCCGAGCTGAGACGCGCTAGCCCACTAGGCCACCGATTCCCTTCCGTCTGAACACACCCTGGAATTCATACTTTTTGTTCTCGCAGCCTCATTGAGTGCGCTTCTTTCCAGGCAACGATGCACTAGAGAGAGGCAACACCCGTGGAGCTTGGTGCTTCTTTGTGGTGCACCGGTGCTCGGCAAGAAGTGCACTCAATGGGGGCACACATGGGCTATAAGAACGAGCACCACGCAGAAACTTCCGTAGCAACTTGCGTGGACACTATGACGTGGTGGCATGGCATAGGTCCACGTCGCAGCGTCCTCCCAAGTTCATATGAAAACTGCCGCGCGTCGCTCGTTGTTATCGCTCGCGCATCCCCGGCTTAACAGTCTACATTAGACGACTTCTTGGCCCGATGAACAAACTGAATTTTGTTTTCAGTCTTCACGCGCTGTCTAAACAGTCCACGATAGACTTGCGTCGTACATTTCACGAACGTTTCATGCGTGGCGTACCCGTTTATGATTGGTAGGCCCGCGTAGAGTAAATCGTGAGGTACCTGCCTCGTACGTGCAGCCATTCGTATGGCAAATTACAATTTTATCTCGCATCGTATTTCGATGAATTTCTGATAATTCAAAGTTTCAATAATTCAAAGAGAATTGGCTGCTTCCTGAAGTTTGAAATATCGAGTCTACTGTATTCCCTGGCACAATGAGAATGGAAGGATGCGGTTTCACTTGTCCAGCCTCCAGCGAGCGCGTAGTGTCTTTAATAACGCTTTAGCGTCTTATGAGCCTCGAGCACGTACATGCAGCCAGAGCACAACAAAGGCAGTGAGCGCATGCTGAAAGGCGGGCATGGTAGGCAGTGCTAGTTGCACCCGCAAAGAGATCACCCTAGAGAGAACGTCCCAGCCGCCGTGCACACGTGGACAAGCCCAGACGAGAGTTGCGGTTTCCTTGTGGCGCAGCGGTCTTCTTTCTGGACAACCGGCACGAGGTGTACGTCTGGCAGGGCTGGTGGCCCCAGAAGGAGTCCGACGCGGGGTCGTGCACCCCAAACAGTTCGGAGAAGGTGCGCTGGAACACGACCAGACGGCTGGCCATGGAGACTGCCCTGCACTACTCTCAGGGTGAGTGCAAGTCTCCTCTCAAAGGCCTTTTACCGCGAACACTTTGGTCTTTTGTCGCCCGACCTCGCTCTCTGCACGTGAATGTGAGTGGGAGCGTTACATGGTGTTGCAAAAGTGTGAAGAATGACTTGCCCAAGGAGCATGTAGCTTCCATCTTCTCGAAGGCTTAGCGGTGAACGTACCGTAAGATACCGGGGCAGTGCCCACCCCACCTTCGCTGGAAACTGGGTTAATCTAAACATGGGCGCTTGTCTGAATTTGCCGAATTCCCAAGTTTGGGAAATGTTAATAGTGGGCACTTGGACCAAGTGGGCGCTTCTGCGGTATTTTACGGTACTGTAGGAAGTGTTTTGCTCGAAGTCGTGCATCAATAGATAGTTTGAATCTGAAGAGAAAATGGTGCTTAAGGGGAGACACTACTTGGGAATGTCAATTTATGAACCACCCAATCAATCGGCGTGATATTTGCTGGTGGTGTTTGTAGCCGTATAGAAGGAGGGCATGCAAAGTTTCAGCCCTGTGAATCAGTTTTATGAGGTGCTGTATACCGCCAGAACGAAGTAAAGCATGGCTTTGCATGGAATCTGCTCAATGAATGTAGCATTGAGAAATGGTGTTGATAACCAGATATTGTTTTGGTGGAATACACGGAATACCTGTTGCCAATTACTATGAAAAGAAATTTTTAAAATTTGCGTTTTCCAAGTAAAAAAATTGCATGAATTTTTTTTATGTTAATTAGGTTTTGCAAATTACAATTTTGCATAATAAAGGAACATGAAAATGCAAAATTTAAGTTCATTGTAACCGCAAACATTAACTAACGATAGTTTCATACTGAAACGATTGTCTGTATCTTCGATTTCACGGGGAAATTTATGGATGGTTCAAATCTGAAAAGAATATAAACAATATATTGTTTTCCGCACTGCAATAAAGTATGGCGATACATCTATGGTAACATTCAAACATATTTTAATGCGTAAACATTACATGTCCCATGGAGCGGACCTGGCATCGTGTGTAACCGTCTGTAGCAGCGAAACGGCAATTTAATTCCCATTGGCCAAAAGCACAGTGTTATGTTGCTAGTTACGCTGAGGAGAATGGTTTAAGCAAACTGTTTAATTAGTAGCATACGGGATCAAAGCCGCAGCTATGGCGATTGCACGTCAGTTCCAAAACGCAACCGCGCGTGTCACCTTCTGCGAGCGTGCTCTCTGAATGTCCTCTTCCTCACATCATAACATGCCCCCCTTCTTCTTTTTTTTTTTTTGAAGATAACGCAGTGCGAGTGCGGCACTTGTCAGTCTCTGTATCGTAGCGGCTTCACCACGACGCGCCCACTTCTTGTTGTTTTTTGGTTATCCTGTTGACGCAGGACCTGATACCTTGTAGATGTGTCGTCGTTTGAGACTGTAGGGACATAGTCTTCAGCGGCTTCGTTTGAGACTGTAGGGAAATAGTTTTCAGCCGCTGTATTTGTTTCTGCTGTTCCATGTGCTTCTTTGATGTGGTACCGGTTGCGCCTGTAGGTGCGTCCTTCTTGTCCTTGCACCGTGTACGACCTCTCACTCGGGCCTCTGTCTAAAACCACACCTCTGTTCCAGTGTCCCCGTCTTTTAAACCAAATTTTCTGCTTTGGCTGTAGTGGCAATAGTGTCTTTGTTTTTAGGTCACCATGGCGATGCTGCCTCGCTTGTCGTTGTTGAAGTGTTATTTCAGTTCCTCTGTCGTTATAGATAGGCAATAGGTTATCTGGCAGAGTTGGTACCAGTGTCCTCAGTTTTCTTCCCATCAAAAGTTCGGCTGGTGATTTTAGTCCATCCATAGGCGTGCTCGGTAATCCAAAAGGACTGTGAATAGGTCCTTTCCATCTTCCTTCGCCTTCATCAAAGAATGCTTGACTGTCTGCACTGCGCGCTCTGCCAGTCCATTGGATCTTGGATTGTATGGACTGGATGGATTATGGAATACATCCCAATCACTCAAGAAGCCTCGGAATTCGGTCGAGTCAAAAGGTGGTCCATTGTCGCATACTACTTCCTCTGGTATGCCAAATCTTGCGAAAGATGCCTTCAGAGCGTTAATAAGACCTCTGGCAGTTGTTGATACCATTGTTTGAACATCGATGTACTTACTGTAGTAATCAATTAAGAGAAGATATGAGGTACCATCTAAGTGAAAGAAGTCCATGGCAATTTTTTGCCAAGGCCTTTCTGGTAGTTGTCGATCAGCCAGTGGTTCACGTTGGTTGTTCCTTTGGTGTCGTTGACAGATTTCGCAACGCGTTATCAAGTTTTCGATATCTTTGTTCATAGTTGGCCAATAAAGACTCTCTCGGGCACGGTTTTTGCATGACACAATACCCCGATGAGCTGCGTGAAGTCGCTCAAGGGCACCAGGTTGAGAGGATGCTGGCAAAACGATACGCCCTCCTCTACACACCAACTGGTCAACCAAGTGCAGTTCATCTTGAATCTCGAAGTAGGGCCGCAGTTCTGCCGATACTTGGAATTTGTGTTCTGGCCAGCCTCGCTGGATGTATTGCTTCACAACTTGAAGCGTTGGGTCAGTTGCAGTCTCTTCCCGTATTTGCTGAAACTTTGTCGCTGTTGCTGTTGCAAGTATGCATACATTGATGGGTTGCTCGTTTTCTTCTGTGTGGATTACCTCAGATGTATCTGGGTCTCTTGAAAGAGTATCTGCAAGCGTCAGATACTTTCCAGGAACATATGTCAGTCTTACATTGTAATTTTGCAGGCGCAAGAGGAGTCGCTGCAGTCTTGGAGATACTTGGTCGTAGGGCTTTTCCTTAAGCCCAATGAGTGGCTTGTGGTCCGTTTGGACCTCCACTTCACGTCCAAACACGTAAAAATGAAAATGCGTACAAGCGAACAGAACTGCAAGTAATTCCTTTTCGATTTGCGCATACCGCTGCTGTGGCTCAGTCAGTGAAGCGGATGCATAAGCTACAGGTTGTCCATTTTGCAACAACACTGATCCAATGCCATAAGAGCTAGCATCTGTCGACAGAGTGACTGGCTTGGAACTATTGAAAAAGGCCAAAACTGGTGCCTTTTTGAGCAACTCTTTAATATGCTCAAACTCTCTTGTCATGTTGGCATCCCAGTACCAAGCTGCGTCCGATTTTAACAAGTTTCTCAACAGTGCCGTTTTTTGTGAGAGATCTGGCAGAAACTTCGTCAGATAAGTAATCATACCCAAAAATCTTTGCAAGCTCGCCTTGTCTGTAGGGGCATTGAGAGCTGCTATAGCTTTTACTTTTTCGTTGTCCGCTGCAATTCCTTTGTCTGTGAGAGCATGTCCAAGGTATTTTACTTGACTCACTCCCAGCTGAACCTTATTTGCGTTGAACTTTAAATTGTGCTTTCTTGCCAGGGTGAGGACTCGATGTAGTTGTTCCTCATGCTGATGGGGATCCTTTGCTGCGAGTAGAACGTCATCAAAATAAGGCCGAATGTCATCGTGTTCACGGAAGATGTCATCCATGGTCCGCTGAAAGAGTTCTGGGGCAGTTGAGAGACCGAATGGTACTCGGAGGAACCTGTAACGGCCCCATGGTGTGGCAAACGTGCATATGAACGAGCTGGGCTCATCCAACACCATATGCCAGAATGCTTTACTCGCATCAAATAGTGTGAAAAGGTTGCAGCCGCTCAGTTTGCTGAACATTTCTTCTTGTGTTGGGATTCGATAATGCTCGCATCTGATCGCTTCGTTTAGCTTGCGAGGATCCAGACAGATCCGTATACTTCCGTCTTTCTTTGGGATTATCACTATCGGATGTACCCAGTCAGTTGGCTCTGTCACTTTGACGATGATTTCGTTGTGTTCCATCGCTTCCAATTCTTGCTTCACCCGAGATTCAAGTGCTAGAGGTATTTTCCGGGGTGCTGCAATGCTGGAAACCGCATCTTTCTTCAATGTGATCTTGTACGTCCCAGGAAAACGACCAATACCTTTAAATACATCTGGATATTCCGACAGAATGGCTGTGAAGTTGGTGGGACATGCCGCCGTTGCTGAGCTTGCAACCGTTACATGCTTGACTCGCCTCACGAGGTTAAGGTCAGAGCACGCTTGTATGCCAAGGGTTGGTTGAACTTCAATGTCCAGTAGGTAAAACTCCAGTAGATAACTTCTCCCCTGGACGATGCAGTCAATGGTGCATCTCCCAGAAACTGCAAGGTTTTCTCCACTGAAAGTCAACACTTCGACTTTTGTGGGCAGGATTGTTACTTGACACCTACATTTGTGCAGCAGAGAGCTAGAGAAAACATTGGCCTCTGCACCAGTGTCAAGCTTGAAAAGAATTTCATGTCCATTAATGGACACGCGTTCGTACCACCCTGTTTCTTTTGTTGGCCCAATTGAACCAATTGCGATGCCTCCCAAGTGGATGGTTTCATTGGGGTCATTGTTCATGGATGAGTTGGAAGTTTCTTCTACTGCAGAAACACGTCGATATCCGTAGGTTTTCTGCTGTGTCTGGTTGCACATTCGGGAAAAATGTCCGAATTTTCCACAGGAAAGGCAGTGCTTTCCGTAAGCTGGGCAGTTTCGGGGTTGATGGGAAGTACCACATCTTGAACATGAACTTTGCTGTCGTTTGCTGGATTGGTCTTTTTGTGGTTCGGATGGCTGATACCTTCGTTGCGCTGCCCTGAAGCTAGATGACTGACGATAGAGTCCATCAACTCTAACTTCGTCTTCAGTTTTCTGAATATCATTCACATGTTTTTTTGAGATTTCAGCTGCTTTACAGGTTGAAATGATTTTGTCCAGGGTTAGACTCGGTTCACGAAACAATCGTTCGCGCAAAGCCACGTCTCGTATCCCGATGATGATACGATCACCAATGAGCCTGCTTTCTTGAGCTCCGTAGTCGCATTTCTGAGCCTGCAGTTTTAGCTCAGTTACAAATTCGTCAATGGTTTGTTCTGGCTTTTGGCTCATTGTGTTAAAAATGGCTGTTGCTTGTGTGACGCTTTTGTAAGGTGCATAGAGTTTATCAAATTCGTGCAGGATGTAATCTACTGCATTCTCTCTTTGCCCGCTTTGACCATCTCCCGTTGGTTGCGGAGGAAAGGTTTGCGTAATTCGTCTTGCCTGAGGTCCAAGGCAGTGGAGCAGAAAAGCTTTCCGAGTTGAGATAGGCTTAGATGCATATTCGCAGGCTGCCTCGAAGATAAGGTAGGATGATTTCCACTCCTCCCATGCTCTTGCTGGGTCGTCACCAGGCTGGAACGGAGCCGGCGGTTGTAGGAAAGCAGATGCCATCTTGTTGTTGCTGTTGCTTGTTAAATTTAAAATATGGACGTTGAGCTGCTCACCACTTCTGACACCATGTTATGTTGCTAGTTACGCTGAGGAGAATGGTTTAAGCAAACTATTTAATTAGTAGCATACGGGATCAAAGCCGCAGCTATGGCGATTGCACGTCAGTTCCAAAACGCAACCGCGCGTGTCACCTTCTGCGAGCGTGCTCTCTGAATGTCCTCTTCCTCACATCATAACACACAGCAACGGATATGCTTCGCCAGGGAAGCCGACGGGGGCACTCAGGGTCAAAGTAGACGTGCCTCAGAAATAAAACACAAAGAAAAATGATCAGCCATTCCACTCTGTAAAGGTGGATGACCAGCAAAGCTGTTTATCAGACGACACAGACGTGATATCACGTGACGTCACAAAGCCGTGACGTCATTTCTGTTGCCGCACACAAAAAATCCACGAGATCCTAGCCATAAACAGCTTCGCTGTAAAAGGCACAGCAACGCAGATACATCGTCACGGGAGCCGTGGAGCCGTCAGGTTCGGCTGCCGTCGATGCAGCAGGAAAAGGGGACGCCAAAGCGCCGTGTGCGAAAGGAAGATGTGGCGCACTGCTTGTAGGAATGCGCTGCGTGTGGGAATGCTTTCGCATTCTTACACGTAAGCAGTCTTGAGTGTCTCTGCCGAATCGTTTCTTAATGTAATTTTGGGGCATTTTCACAATTTGTGCACAAGAATTTCTGTTCTCAATAGTGTCCTACCACAACCAGTTTGACACGCCTGTACTTTAGAATACGTGGAATGCAACCATCTGGTTTTGGTTAGAGTGCACATTTTTTTATATTTATGGAAAATTTAAAGAAAACATTTGTTAGCTCCTTGAAATGGCTTTTTTGCTATTTTTAATTAGTCTAAAATGAAAGAAGCGGAGCACACATTATTTCTGTTGTTCATCGCATTCAGTGGTATAAAAGGAGCGAATTAGTTTCTCTTACTAGGCTTTTTTTAAGCGTGTTGCCATCCCTCACGTGTGCACAAGAGCATGATTTTTTTCTGAATGTACATTGCATTGAGAACATTAAAGAACAAGCTATATTATATCTAGCACCAGTTTCATAGAGACTAGATTAAGCACCATAAGCTGCAAAAATTTCATGGAGTAATATGCCAAAAAAACTCGGACGAAAACGAAGGGAGAACTGGACAGGACGTTAAACCGTGTCCTAACCAGTTTTCTCTTCGTTTTCTTCTGTGTTTTTGGCGTATTACAGCTTGATACAAAGTCAACTAGCACAACTAGCCATCCTTATGTAAAAAATTTTCAACATTGTAAATGATAAAAAAAAAAAAAAATTTCCCTCAGCGCATGTTTTCTTAAATTTCAAAACTCGTCACTGAGGGTCGGAGGCGGTTGAGAGAGTTTAGGAGCTCGGAGAATCCACTGGGGCACCCGGGGGAACTTGCTAGTGGCATTTCATCAAGCGATGGCTTCTTGAAATGCTCAAGGAGCTAGATGTCCTAGTGAATTGCCAGTCTGATTTTTCTTTCGAGTTCTGAGTAAAGAGTGATGTGGTGGAAACAGCAAGCTGTCCGTTGGAGGGCGTGCCTGGGGCTGGGGGCCTAACCGGGCGAAATTTCGGTTTCAGAGTTGAGCTCGAGCGACCCTCCGAAGGTGTACCTGGTCTTTGCCGGTCTGGAGCCGGTCCAGTTCACCAGCCTCTTTCCCGAGTGGGAGGACCGGGACGACATTGCGTGCATCAACATGAAGGTAAGCGACCGCACAATAACTCGTCATTTCGTCCTGAAAGGGGTGCACAGCCAAGGTGTGGAGTGAATAGTTGGGCTGTTTTAGTTACCTGGTTGAGGTACCGGTGAACTAAATACCAGTTCCTAAGTTAGGATGAAATTACAGTAACCTATGGTTAGGATTTTGGACTGACCTGTAACTCGGTTCAGTGGCAGTTGATTTGAAAAGTTGTGTTTACAATTGCAGAAACCCTCATTGACTTGGTGTCTGAAACGGTTCTTTGCGTTGTTACTAGTGATGGACTGAATCTGCCGAACTTGAAATTCGACAAAGCTCGGCACATGCCAAACTTTTGAAGGGAAGTGAGGCGAAGATTCGGCAAAAATTTTGGCAAACGTCTGCGCAAGAACGCGACGGGGCCATGGATTGGAAAAGGACACCGTGCGGTTACCATCGTACAGCGTAGTGCTACCAACGGTTACGGCAAGGTGCAGAGTAGGCGACATGGTAACCGTGTGTTTGTCAGCCTTTGTACGTGTGGCTCGCTTCAATATTTTCTGCCTCAAGAACGGAAGATCCGCCAGGAATCGTTGCAGTCCATTGTGCAAGTGACAAATGATGGGGTACATTTTGGACAACGTGATTTTCATTTGAGCTCTCCGGTGTTGCAACGAGGTAGTTGCAACATTGACCGACAAGTACAGCGATTCCTCGTTTTAACAAAATCGCTTTTATCGAGGTTACATATGGTCCCGACCGAAATGCACGCATTTTTAACCGGATTATTCTAAGTGTATCGGCGGCCGATCACACTTATTATGAATGTCGAGGTGCCGAAACCATTGGAGCCTACACGGAGGTGCATGAAGACCCTTGCGTTCCCTCCCCCTTCTGTGCCGAGGCTAACGGCAAACTGGGAAAACGGTGTAAACGGGCGACGGAGGGCAGAGCGCACAGCTGGCAAAGCGCCGCTTCTGATGTGCCAACGCGGACGGGGAGCAGCGTCAAACTTCCAACGCTACTCACAACACCCGCGGCCGACACTGCCCAACTCCTGTCGGAATCTGGTCAAGAAAGCGATGGAGCCTGGAGGAGATCATGCACGCTCCTGAAAGGGCGCGCTGGCGGCATAATACATGCATACGTGCGTCGTATGGGAGATTGGGAGTGTTTACCTAAAGTCGCTTAGATCTGCGAGGTTGAAAAAAGTGGCCAGCCCAAGGTCTGAAGTCTCCAAAGAATTTGACATTCCGGCATCGGCTGTTCGACACTGTTCTCCATTTTGCAGAACAAATGAGGTGTTGGACGGGTTCAAGAAGTTTCCCGTGTGGGAGAAGTGCGCCCACGACCCGAAGATGAAAGAACGCCAACTGCTTCGCGCACGTCGGGTTTTCTCTCGCGAGCACGCTGGCCGAGCCGTGGCGCGATTACCGTAGCTGCAACGATCTCTACAGGAGTGTGTGAAAGCATGTTGGCAAAGTCACCGAGGACAACTTTGATTCGTTCGCGCTCGTCGACGCGGACATTCCCGTTGTTGCTCCTGCCAGGGATGCTGCGATCGTAGACCTTGCTTGCGGCCAGGGTAAAGACGAAGCGACTTCGGAGAGGCACCTCGGGAAACTCCGACTGCAGAGGCGTGAATCATTCTACGACTGCTTCGAAACAAAGTGGAGTGCAGTGGCGGTGACAGTGTTCTTGCAATGCCTGGAGCAATTTGAGGAGAACTGATGCCCTGATGAAACTTTCGGCAAACTCCACCCATAATTATTTTTTTACTCGGTAAAGCTTCTGCGAGATGTTCTTAACCAAGGTTTGTTTGATTAAACATGCGGTCAGAATGTTCCGCAGTGTTCCCGTCCACCCTCGACGCTGCTGGCACTGTTTTTTTTGGCTCTATCGCTTTTATAGAATTACCGCTACTATTACGGCAAACTACCGTAGCAGGAAGTTTTCCCGAGAATTAAGGTCAAGTGCTCGTTTCTTGGAGATTGGGCAATCCCATGCTTCTATACCGTTCCTTCCCACTCATCCCCGCAAAGTGCCGACTTCTTGAGCAACGCTGAAAAACATAGTATTTGTGAGTGATTAAGTGTCGAAAAAATGCCCTCGAATCCGAGAAGAGAAAGAAAATGTAAAACGCGGAGCCCTAGTAATACCATACAACGACCATTGTCTCGTGAAGATGGGCAGAGTGGGCAATGCAAGTCTTGTGAGCATCCTTCTCCCTAGCTATACTTCGTTTGAGCTTAAGTCCAGACTCAGCTGACGCTGCGAGGTAATGAGACCGATCGAGTGGCGTCAAAAGCGCAAGTCACAAGGCCTTTTCTGTCTGATGGTTCGGCGATAAAACCGCCGAGGAACACGGCGGTGGTGCGCTTTTGCCACTCACCGATTGGTCCTATTGGCTTGTAGCATCGGCGGCGTCCGGAATCAAGGGGAAACGAAGCTTGTGCGACGGTCTGGGTGTGCTTTGTGTGCAGGAGGGCCGCACGCACGGTGACTGCCTGTCCGTGCAAGAGACCCTGTCCCAGCTGACGCAGACCCACTACCCACTGGAGGAGCTCAAGGCGGACCCCCTGCCCGAAGGGGTCGACCCCCAGCGGCTGGAGTCCTACCTCGCGGACGAGGAGTTTGAGGTGGGTGTCCCTTCTTTTCCCGTGGAGGTTAAACTTTGGTGCGCGGCGTTTTTCAGGGAGCGATGGCTCGAAGACAATTTTTTTTCTCTCGAGTCGCGCGTGCCTTCGTAAATTTGGCACCCTCCGTCGTGAGGGCGAGGGCACCTGCGCTTAGCAGTGGAGAATCGATATGCATCTCTGAAACAGATTGCTCCTCCTTTAACACCGAAGCCAACAGTGGATGCGAGTTATGATGACATGCGCCACTGGCATCGAAACATTTTTATTGTTGCTTGGGTGATTTTTGTTTTGGTGTGCTTCTTCTTTGTCAACTTGGTGCTTAGGGGCAAACACCGAGGTTTAGTAATTGCTTATAACTCTGGTTTTCGACGACTGTGAGAACAAAGAGGCTCCAGTTTTTGATGAACTAAGGCCCACTGAGGACGCTCAAGAGTGACCTCAGGGAGCAAGGTCAAGGTGCCACTGCAAAGTACCGAGTCTCAAAAAGTACAATGTGAGAAATCTTATACGTTCATGCAGATGTCAATGAACTTTCTGTCCATAAAAAAGTGTCTTTTATAAATATGCTTTACAGAGTGTGCTACAGTGGTACGGAGACCTAAATTTCGGTCCAGCGTCCAGGAGAAAATTTGGCACTCAAAGGGTTCATCTTTTAAGAATTTAGTTTTTTTCCCAAAAATATTTCCCAATGGTCAGTTTTTGTTTTCGAAATCGTAATGTAGAGAAAGGGTCAATGGGCAGCTTTTTTCTTAATTATCCAGCAGCACATACAGTAATCGGTCATGAACTCGAACTTGGCTATCTCGAAATATTGGTGCAGCAAAGTGCAAGAAAAAAAAAAGGAAGAAAAGATAAGTCCCACGTTATCAGGCTGCAACCAGCTGCACCTCAGGGATGTTTGTTATCTTACTTTTTTGTTCTCCCCGATAAGGCTTGGGGGTCAGCAATTTTTTCTCACTCCCTCAGCCTTATCTTGCGCTTCTTTTTCTTTCATTCTTTTTAATGCAAATTCTTTCCTTTTTTTGCATTTTCGTTTTTAGCTCTGGCTCTCTTATTTCATGCGAGTGTTGCTCGTTGATAATTTCGTTGCAGTTGCTTCGTTTTCCCCACGCCACCGTGCGAGCGAGCGTCTAGTCACTTGGCGCGATTGTTGGCAGGCTTCCATTCTCACAATACGCCATCAGTTGAACAAAAATTCGGTACCTGGCTTATCTCGAAACTCTGCCTACCCCGAATTTTCGTTTTGTTTTTATGACTTTGAGTCATTGAGGGTTCACCGTACAGTGCTTGCAAGATGTTCGGGTTTAGAGGCATGAAATGGAAATATTGAAGGCAAAAAGTTGTCTGCTTTCTTCTATTCGTTTTGGTGCCTCTGGTTGTGCGACATTTCAGCAGTTTGATTCCTTACTGGAGGTACTTCCCAGATCTTGTCCAAACGATGAAAGGCTCTCATCCTCTGAATACAATTCTGAGGAGCATTAAAAGTCTGAATCGGAAGAGCCAAAGCCCCAGAGCAGCGGACGTGCAAAGATACCATTTCGCATGTATCACCTGAACAGAGTATCTAATTTTGAAAACTTTGCTGGAACTGTAAATAGTTCGAGCAAAGTGAAACACATGGCAAATATAATGTTTGAAGTTTGCCAAAAGCATAACAAATAGCAACACCTCCCATGGGGCGGGCACTTTGAAAGGTGTAACCTCTGCCGTACACGTGCGACGACGACCGCCGAAGGGTCAATGGCACCTATCGGAGCAGTTTGAATTGTATTGCTCGAGTCCCTTGGGATGTTAAAGAATGTTCGTGTTGGGTTTTTCTCTTGTCTGGTCACTGCAGGCTGTGTTCAAGTGCAGCAAAGCCAAGTTCTACGAGCTGCCAAGCTGGACCCAGAACAAACGCAAGAAACAGGCTGGCCTCTTCTGACCGGTCAACACTCTCGCACCTCCCCCACGCCTTACCTGTTGCCGCAAAACCCTCTGGACGCTTCCTCTACTGTTTTCTTTTTATCTCCTTAACGCAAGACATTGTTTCAGTACTGGTGGCTTCCATTGCTTCGCACGCATTGTTCCCCATCAACAGAGTCTTGAGAGCAACGCTCGAGGCTGCATCTCCTTTTTTTTTTCTTGCCTAACCGATCTGTTTCCACTTTTTTTTTTAACCGACGGGGAGCTGAAAGGCAACGTGATCGGTGCAACGTGACGGATTATTTTTGTAACCGAGTGAAAGTGTAGTAGTACTTTGAAATGGAAGGACAACCTGGCCCGACGGGTGAAAAAATTCGGGAACGGAACGGCCATGCCTCGAAAACAAGGAAGCAGTGACAGGAATCAAATTAGCAAAATTTTGTTTATTGACTGTGTATGTTCAACCCTACGCGACTCGTGGCATGTGCTTCCCTTATTTACTTCAGTTCAACAGAAGGTAGGCAATTGATTTGGACACTGCATTGGTTTGTTTCCTGTCACTGGTTCTTTGTGTGCTAGGTATTTTGAGTTTTCGAATCTTTGCTACCCCCCCACATGGTTGAGGTGTCGTACGCTTCTGGAGACCTTGTAAAATGAAGAGAATGCGTTTTGATATTATTGTATTATATAGATACATATTTTACGAAAGAGTCAACGGGGTACAAAAGCAATATCTGAAGCTTGTCACTCAACATTTTCATGCTATGTTCCAGCCAGCCTGTAAATAATATTTTTTCAAAGATGAAATTTTTTTAGGAGGCGGTTTGTATGTGCACGTTTCTGTACATGTCCAGTTTGTTCTGTTCCCCTATTGGAAACAACTGCTTTTGTAGCTGAAACAAGCATCTATTTAATTTGTCACTTCAATGACTTTCTTGGCTATGGCACTTGGTTGTGCTTGGTTAGCTGTGCTTTTGTACATAGCCTGTAAATTTTGTTTTCCCAACGGAGCACATAATGAGTGCAGTGTTCGAGGAAGACTTGTCTTTTTTTTTGTAGGGTCCTGATTTACTCTTTGATGCCGTTTTTACTTCTCTAGGCTTTGAATCCTTGGGCGTGCGACTAAAATCCTAACGTCGTCGATAACTTCGGAGCAGGGTGTTGTACGTAGTTGTTATTGTTCCGTAAATGCACCGAAATTGGTCGGAGAGCGTATAGCTTAGGATCGAAACCATTGTGGTCTCGTGTGGAATCATTCTTTTCTGTTGTTGGTTTTTACTTTAGTCATTGAGGCACAGTATTCATTTGGTTGTGTTAAGATGGGAATCTTTGGCCGCCGGTGATGAAAAACCCAGTGATAACCTTTTTTTTTTTTGTTGGTGAATCTGATCTGCTCAAGGTTGTCGGCTTCGTAAGCCTCTTTTTTTATCCCCAGTCCCATTTTTGTGGCTGACAAAGCTTACCCCCGCTTTTGCATTTGCGTTTTTTCGATAGCTCAAGACTGCCAATTGGGCTTTGTGTGCTCTGCCAAATTAGCTTATCTTAAACTCTCATATGAGCAATGCTGCTGTCATACTTAAGCACGCAGAGTCTTTGGTCAGTCTCGGAGGTCGTGCTGTCTTCAAAGATAGCTTTTCCTCATTCGTTAACAAGTCGTCATAAAAATCTAAAGGCGCTGCCTTGAATGTTTTACACAATGTTTTTTGAGGCTCTTATTGTGCAATTTTTTTCAGCCACGAATAATTTGTTAGGATTTATTAGAATCTAATTGAGGTTGTGTTCCCTGCTGCATTTTTAACGGTGGCAATCTTTTATGCATATGGGACATCGGGAGTCGGTATAAAAGCTGGTTCGGGAAGTCTTAACTGCACTGTATTTTTCGCGAGTGTAAATGTGTGTCAGAGTGTGTTTTAGAGTGTTTTTAAGTGTGACAACTAATGTGACTGGAAATGATTTTTTGTAAATAAACTGGTCACGTGGGAATTGCAGACTGGGTTTTGTCCGTTTTTGTAGCTGAAGTGGCTGGAATAGTAGTATATCGATAAAGGTGTTGAAAGCTTCTTTGGCATTGCTGGTGCATGCTGAAGCCTTTTGCATGGTTTTGGAAATTGATTCTCCTGCTGGGCTTCTTGGGAGTGTTTGTTCCATGATGTCTGTCCACTGGGGAAAGTGATAGTGCAGAAAACGTAGCATTTATAAGGCCCCTATAAATGCTAGCATTTGGAGCACCTTGGAATGATGTCGCAGTATCCTGCGACACAGACATCGAGGCTACATCCGCGTACATGAAAACTCTAAAAGCTGGCCCTATAAATGTTGTGTAAGGAGAAGCATCAATGCTTGAGGCCAAGCTACCCTCTGTAACATGATGCTTCTTCCTAGTTATTGTTAATACAGTTTGCAAGCTTGCTGCTGTTTGAAAAATGTTGAGAGGATAGACGTGGTGAATGTTTTCTTGCAGTGGTCGAGAGTTTTAGACAGAAGCTAAGAACCTTGCGGAAAGGCTTTATTTGAAAGAGAACCTGTACTACAGAGATTTTGAGCATGTTTGTTTACTTTTGCTGCTTGGTATTCCACCCGATGTTTGCCAGTTTAATAATGCCTCTTCACAAAATTGAATATGTGGAAACTGAATTTACTGAAACTAGCGCATGGTTTCTTTCGTCTTGCAGAGTGTAGGAAGATATTTCCCAAAAACAAATAGTTTTGCAAAAAGAATTATAGTGATGTAATGGGTTGGAAAAAATTATCCCTCAAATAAGTATTTGTTGTAATGCTGGAGGTGGGGCATGAAAAAGGTGCATTTTACATCGTAACAGCTCTTTTACTGCTCGCTTTTTAAGGGTGTACTCTGACATTTTTTGCTTTATTTTTTCGGTCGTTATTTGCCTCAAAAGTGGCTCAGCACTCCAGTAGGCCTGGCTGAACTCCCAGTGTGCCCAAAAAGATCTTCCTTTACACATTTATGAAGTGCGGATATAATGTGATGTGGATGTAACAATATTGCCTTTACCACTTTCCAGTCGAAAGTGATTTGCTTCTAGGGGTACGGCAAGTGTGAAAAGTGCAGCTGAAATGGATATAACGGGCCTCATTTGAACTGGAAATTTAGTGGTTCCAGGCCCTAACAAAACTTTCCGTCCGGGAGACTGCTACCAGAAGTTTTAGTTTTGTTAACACAGTCTCTCGCTAAGGTCACTTGCACCGGTGCACCTCTTTACAGTGGAGCTGTTAAGGGCTAGGTTCCCCAGGATCGTGTCCGGTATGTCGACACAAAGCTACCTGGACAGCTACCGCCATCTATAAGTGACTGCGGCAAGCACACAACCAGTATGGTTTCCGCCGTCACTCGAAGATGGCGGCAACCTTTCCAGCTATCATAGGAGAATGGATAGTTGGGCGCGTTGGTGGGAAATCATTGTAGGAAACAGCGCGAACAACACGACGAAGAAGCACAGCGCTCGTCACGTGTGTTTCTTCATCCTTGTCTGTTTTGCGCGCTGTTTCCTACGCTCTTATCAGTTTCGGTTTGGACTCACGATAGGTCGACCGCGCGCCCTTCGGGGAAAGGAGACAGGCTGCGGAAGGAGCGGCGACGTACGCAGCAGCGCGAATGACAGGTTTTGCTTACTTCTGCGTACCCCCAAGATTACGTCCCACTTCAGTTCCGTTAACCACCACAAGCGGCTGCAGATCGGCAAATATTTTGTTTTCTTCTTTGCGATTACGGACCGGAGTAGCAGTTCTTCGGGGCGAGGTGACGTGTCTTTGGTCACTTGTGCTTGCAGAAACAATATAAAAAATACAAATTGACAATTCTTTCAACATTAAAATCGTTACACTACCCCTTTAAATGGCTTTGTTAAAGGATCAGGGTGAGGGAAAGGAAGATTTGAGGAGCAAGCAAGCGGTATGGTGGAGTGAAGGGGATGTTTCCTTTTCTCCCTGCAGCAATCCATCTACTTCGACCTCCCCAGCCAACACCTAGGTAACAAAGTCGCAGTGCTGATGGTGATGATGTCATCAGCGAAGGCCAACGCTGGGCACAGATAGGATACGCCAAATGCGTCAGCGTTTGGCTCAAACTTGGCTCGGAAGTCGAGCGCTGACGCATCACTCGTTTCCAATCTGTCCAGCGTCGCCTACGCTAGTGACGCAAAAATGTCAGCACTGCGGCCTTGTCTTCTAGGGCGGTGTTGCCCCAGCCGATCTCTTCACTTGTCGCCGACTATGGCTCATTTTAGTCGCGAAAGAGTGAAGCGTCTTGTCGGTAGCGCAAGTTTGTCTGCTTCATGCACAGGGGTTGCGATGATGTCAGAATGCCAAGCACTTCATAGCTGATTAAAAATGAGATAAATAGTAGACCTTAAGGCATCTCATTGGGGTCTACCCCCTATCATTCCGATCAAAGCCAATCAGAACTCAGCATTGTTCTGACGTCACCGCAACTCCTGCAAAAGAAGCAGACGATCGACTTGCTCTCTGGATTGGCTACGATCGGCGATGATCTCTCATTCATAAATGAAGATCAAGAACACCACCTGGCTTTGCGCCCCTCTGGAAGATAGGCTTCAAGTCGTCCGCGAGAGGATTGAGAGTCATTATTTTCTTTGCCCAAAGATCCTGAACCCTTTGGAAATGGAAGACCTTAATTCGACGGAGGGACAAAGAGCTTCCGAAGTAGCACCAAAACATTCTTACTCCTTTTGTTTGGCCCTAATGTTTAAGAAGTTTCCTTAATGTCATTTAATTTAATGTTTTCACAATACGGCGTTTATCTTTCAAATTCATCGCATTAAAAACGGTGCCGTGTATTTATGTGCACTATCGGACACTGTTAGCGCGACAACGACGTACGTCGGCGCTTTTCTTCAGCATGAGGGATTTACGTGCCAAACGAACGAAGGACATCTGGAAATTAAGGGAGACGGCAAGAATTACCAACACTGGACCAGTAACTACCCGTGCATGTACGATCAAAATAAATTGAAGGCTACGTAATATATTCCGATTTTAAATGAGTAAGTACCGCTTTATGCTTTCTGCTCGTGAAGATGTGCGAAGATGTTTGTTCTGCGTTGAAAACATCACCCGCACGCTCGAAATCTTTGAGAACAAGGGACCGATGAAAGCTGCCCGGCAGAGAAAACAATACGAAGAGACACCTTTCATAGCCCACGTACTTTATTCTTTATTTGAATGTTTTTATCCGCTGATGCACGACGGGATCATTTTCATATAGTTACAGGACTGGCATATCAATATGCTGGATGTATCAAGTCAAGGAGTAGCCAGGCTCTTTAAATCGACCGCAAAATTCGGTTTCTTAACGTATCGTGCTACGACTTTGTGCAGCGTTGCCCACAGATGGTGCATTTTTTTCATAAAATTTGCAAAGAGCGAACTTACCTGAGGAAAAGGTAAAGAAAGAAAAAGGCTTAGTTCCTATGGAAATGCGGCGAAGCCAAAGGTCTTCAAGCAGTACGGCGCCGTTTCGCACGGGAGACAAGAGATGGCGCAAGCGGTCGCGATGCCAACTGCGCCAACGAATGAGCATACGGCGCCGAGAGCCGGCGTCTTTAGCAGACGATCTTTCGACTCAAAAGCGGAGCGCGTTCCGCAGGCGGTGACATTCGCAGAAACAAATACAGGCGCGGTAACAACAAATAACTGCAAAGCAGACAACATCTGTAGTCCGAAAGAAAAAAAAACAAAAAAACAAAAAAAAAAAACAGCCAAAATATTCCGACAAACCATTTTCCAATCGATTATGTGTCCATTCAATATGTTTTATCAGTAAGGATGATAGTGCATTGGCAACTGATACCAGAAAAGCTCGCGCCGCATTTGAGTCGAAATATCGTCTGCTAAAGACGTCGGCTCTCGGCGCCGCATGCTCGTTCGTTGGCGCAGTTGGCATCGCGGCCGCTTGTGCCATCTTGTCTCCCGTGCGAAACGGCGCCGTATTGTTTGAAGACCTTTGGCTTCGCCGCATTTGATAGGAGCTAAGCCTTTTTCTTTCTTAACTTTTTCCTCAGGTAAGTTCGCTCTTTGCAAATTTTACGGAAAAAAATGCACCGTCTGTGGGCAACGCTGCACAAAGTCGTAGCGCGATAGGCTAAGAAACCGAATTTCGCGGTCGATTTAAAGAGCCTGGCCAGTCCTTGATACACCCAGTATAAGCGTCACCGGAATGCTGGCGAGCCTTGAAACACTCTATATTCCTTTCGATTGTAATTTTGCTTTGAATCGTCGCTTGTTTTTACACACCAGCTGCGGAACACATGTTTGGGACTGAAATATAGCGAAGTTAAACATCGTTCAGTGATGAAGAAAAATGCGCTAACTAAAGCAATGTCATTTTTACAGTGTTAACCAAGTTACATACTATTCGGTACGACCCAAATAACCGAAGCGTTCCGTGTTATTTTCCGGCGAAGACACAAAATGCACGCGCGCTTTCCCGTAGGAATACACAGGAGCACCGCAAATTGAAGCAGACAACTGGTTGTTGTCTGCTTCAATTTCGCATCCCGGAAGTCGCACACATAGGCCGTGTTCCAAAATCTACTCGATCCTACTCCAGGGTAAGGGTTTGGTACCTTGGCGTTCCAAAACTTACTCGCGTTCAGCGCTTTTCAATCTGTGTTGTCACGTGACTTGACCCGCCGGAGTAACTCGGATCCATTTGGGTAGGATTTGGAACACAGCCCTGGAGTTGTTATAACGTACGCTAGAGCTTCAACTGGCGCTAGTGCCTATACGACTTCCGTGACGCAAATTGAAGCAGACAGCAACCAATCTACTTTTGCGGTGCTCCTGTGCATTCCTATGGGAAAACGCGCGGGCATTTTGTCTTTTCGCCGGAAAATAAAACGGAACGCTTTGGTTATTTGGACATGATTGTAAACCTGAGACTGGGGCAGAAAAGAGAACACAACAGAAGGTAGTAAAAGAGGAGGCAACGTCTCAATTGAGACGTTGCCTC